CCTTTCTCGGCGTAATGTGTTCGTTGGTCTTCCTCTTTTCATTTGGCCTTCAAGATTCCATGTGAGGGCTTGTCTTGTGACGCAGATGGGTATTTTCCTCAATGTTTGTTCTATTCACTTCCAACTCTTCTTCCTGATTTCTTCATCCACTGAAAACTGGTTTGTTCTCTCCCACAGTAAATTATTGCTGATAGTATCTGACCAACGGATCCGAAGTATTTTGCTTAGACAAAATATACGCATTCCCGAAAATCCATTCTCATATTCAACTTATTTTAATCCCGTTATTCACTTACATAATTCAAGTCCATTATGATATATGAGAATTAGTGGCATGTATATTTTCAATAACAATCAGAAACGATCTGACTTGAGTCAAATTCCAGGCCATTAAAAACCCTCACATTATAAAAATAGATAATTTTTCCCTATTTTTTTTCATCATAGTAATTACGTGAACATTTTATTTGTATAAACAGTAACCGGTCACATTACCTGTATGTAGTTATAGAAACAAAGAACTTGTTTCCATGTGTAAGACAAACATGTCCCTGTGACATGTTTTTTTTTTCTTTTTTTTTTAAAGAAAAGGGTTAATTCCATGAAGATGAATTTTTATCAAAGTTGCTGGAATGTACACAAAAATATTTATTATTGTTATTATTACTTATTTACCTAGTTACTCCTGTTACCCCTTGTGAAGGAACATAGGCCACCCACCAGTATTTTATATTCAACCTTGTCCTGGGCAAACGTTTCCAGTTGTTATTATGATACTGTCATTAAAGAAAAATAATCAGATTTACTAATTAATTAACCAGGATACAAAAAAAATTTTGAAAAGTTTGGATGATTTATTTAGTCATATGATTTTAATAGGATTGATTTCAATAACAATGTAGTTACATAATCAACTAAATAGAACCCTATTGAAAATATAAAAACGGTAGTTTCTTGTTTACTAATCGTGGATGCGCACTGCTGAGGAGTCCCATAATAAGACGAAACGGCCTTCCAATTCTTCCAGGTTTTCCTTGGTGGTCTAGCTTCAATTTACTCATAATTTCAATTATGTTTACTAATCGTTAGTTCTATACATCCATTAAATGTCAAAGGAGTTAACACAGGAACTTCAGGTGATAATAAAAGAACGTTAATTTCAGACAACGAAGTTGGAATTCAGTCGCCTATAATTGAAATTCTGGTCAATTTAGATATAATACTATTTGAAATTTACTTAGTATTGTTTGTTTTTGAATATTCCCCTTGATGTGTTAAGACTGCAACTGGTCAGTCTCTAATTGACATATGTGTATACTGTGCGTATTGTCACGATATAGCCTTATTTCACAAACATAGTAAGCAAAGATGGATATTGGCTAGCAGTCGCAATCTTAAAACATCAATGGGAGGATTCAAACAAACTATACTAAGTGAATTTAAACTTAACCCTATCGCACAAGCAAGTGGCTATCAGGACTCAGTGGACGAGTGGATAACGCAATAGCGTTTGAAACGAAAGGTACTGGATTCGAGTCCCAGATTAAACATCAACTCTGAGATGCAGGTACATCCAGCTGACGAGTCCCAAATAGGACGAAACGCGCATCGTGGATTCCACTGCTAGCCACTATCCATCATTGTTTTTTTGTTAATCTATTGATATTGAGAATGTTAATTTCAACCAAATCATAGAATTTTTTATCATAACTATTTTCTTCTTGCAAAATATAAACCTATGTATGATATAGAATGTTTTTAGGCTGGATACCATCAGCAACAACTTATTGTGGGAAAGAACAAACCAGCTTTCAGCTGAAGAGGAATTTAGGAAAAGACGCTGGATGTAGATAGAACATGAATATGGGAAATCATGAAACTGCATTACGAAGCTAGTGTTAAATCGGAACCCTGAACAATAACGAAAAAGAGGAATGCCAGAGAACGTACTGAACTTAGAATTAGAATCTGGCATCAAAAGAATGAATAACATGTGGAAACAACTGGATAGAAAATAAATTTGTTTTATTCTTAAATCAGATTAATTAGCCAACAAAACAACTAGAGTAAATATTTGTCGGGGGTTTTTTACGATTCAATTAATTTTCCTATCTAGAAGTTATTCTTGGTTAATATGAGTGAAGCGATATCATTAAATAACTTAATGAAAAGATAGTTGCAACCGAGAGATCATTAGATACTTCTGATATGCGATTGACATATTTGCACAATATCAAATAAGCTACAAATTCAAACTAGAAACGATGTGTGAGGAGGATCCACAAGTGAAGTTGAGGAAGCTCTAAGAAGCCCAGAAGGAGCCGGACATATTCCATCCAATCAGCTTTGGGAAAAATATTCTAGAATCACTACATGTAACCACCCTATTGGACAATGCTGATAACTCCCTGTGTGCGGATTGGATAACTATAATGATGATTTCGTTTCTTATAAAAACTATCAATACCTCACAATTTTGTATCATAATCGACACTGTTTGGAATAACATTCTTTCCACTTGTCTGCTGTCTTCTGATTTGTGACTTGAGAGGGTTCTAGCGTTCGAGTGCTCAAGTATTAAGCGACAGACTAATAAATCCAAGTTTGAGATATAACACGATGATATCACATTTTTTTATCCTATAAATGATTTAAAGCATGAATTCTGTAAATAGCTAAGATGTTTGAACAGCTTATGGAACTATAATTATTAATGCTGGTTTTGTTCGTGTATTCAAAAAAACTATTGTAGATCGTGGATATGCACTTTTGAAGAGTACCATAGTAGGACGAAACAGCCATCTAGTTGATATGACTTTAGAAAAGGCCGTCGCAAATTTGTTATGACTTTATGAAAAAAACACGAGACGTATGCTAATTCGTTATTGACTTTATGTCCGGCTTTTTATTACGTGAATTATCTACTAATCGAATACGACTTGTCTATTCTTAGCACTGTGCCAAAATCAATGACGTTCAACTTGTATGAGCAGTCTAGCGTCCTTATTAGTCTCTTGTCCGCCTAACCCGTCCACTTGAGTCCAAAACACCAATAGCAGCCTCGGCAATACGAATCGTTTATTTCAAGCATACTCGGTTTATATAGCAGAGAGACAGACCGTATCACATCATAAAATAGATAATAATATTTGTACAAGATCAAGTCAAATGTGATTGTGCACGTGGGATACAATCATCAATAAACTGAATATAATTAAGGAACAGTAAATCGTATAATAATAACAATAATCTATAGGTCAAAATGAAGCTTATCATAAGATGAATCTAGATATACACAATCTAATTGCTCAATAGTTAAGCAATAAGAATATACATAGAATAATCGTCCAATAATAGGCGTCGGGAGTTACCCATACTTATGTCTTCGCTAGGATATAACACCTCCCCTTTTTTTTTGAAGATTCGAAGTTTATGTGCTGATTTTTTTAAAAAAAAATTATCTATACCTTGAAACCCTTCAACATTTTCCTTCCCCCCTCCCCAAGAAATAATGTTAGATTCATTGTAGTCTATCATCAATGGACTCATGAATTCAATTATTAAAAATGATATCCATCTAAATAAACTATACAACAGTAATGGTAACATTTTCAAAAAAAAAAGTACTCCTTATTGATTGTACAACTAATGTACTACTTAATTACTCGTTTTTTTTTCATCAATGGAACAACTATGTAATTAAATGTGAACTTTGAAAAAAAAAGAAGACAAACAACAGTTGGTTAGTACATTCTATAATACTCATAGTGTGGTGTGGTCTACTTATATCTATATAAGTAGTATATGGTATGGGTCAGACATAGGATGTATTTTGGCAGAAGACCGATGAGCAAAGAACTGAAATGAAGCGCAATCGTCTGGAAAATGCATGAGCAATGGAATAAGAGAAGAAACAGTGAAGATTGAAACAATTGGTTGTTAATTTGCAAATTGACTGTATATTGTATGGTTTTCAGAATTTACTGAGATAGTCTGTAATCTTTGCTTAAATACATTCGATTGTCCCCAACCAGTGTTTTGTTCACTACATTTGGTGTCGCTGCCAACCGGGAGGAGGAGGGGTGCTGTTCTGCGGACGCCGCTGCGGGTCTAGAGTTGAGATGCTTGTTGGGGCAGTCTGATGCGGAGGGGTGGCGTCGAGTGGAGTGTTCTGGCGGGGCGGCGTTGGCTGTAGTGGGTGCTGTCGACGGAGAGTAGCAGTGGGACGTGCGGCTGCTGTGCGGACATCGGATGTAGATGGCTCAGCAGGCCGGTGGAGTACGGGTGTTGAACGTCCCAGGTGCCGGGTGGATGCGTAAGTTGGTGCCCCGGCAGGTCGACGGAGCTATGGAGGTCAGCGCGCCGCAGACTCGACATTCTGACGGAGAGTTTGGCACAGACTGCAGTGAAAGAGGATAGTGGCGTGGCGAGCAGAACCACCGCATGGTCGAATGCTTTAAAGGGGGGACGAGTGTGGTGTGGTCTACTTATATCTATATAAGTAGTATATGGTGTGGGTCAGACATAGGATGTATTTTGGCAGAAGACCGATGAGCAAAGAACTGAAATGAAGCGCAATCGTCTGGAAAATGCATGAGCAATGGAATAAGAGAAGAAACAGTGAAGATTGAAACAATTGGTTGTTAATTTGCAAATTGACTGTACATTGTATGGTTTTCAGAATTTACTGAGATAGTCTGTAATCTTTGCTTAAATACATTCGATTGTCCCCAACCAGTGTTTTGTTCACTACAATAGTTTTTTGTTTTGTTTATATATTACCGTTTAATGGTTTTATGGTTTGTTTGTTCATTTCATTTGTTATTTATATAATATCAACATTTAAAATTACTTTTAGGTCACACGAAGTGAACTTAATCACTGATTGGTTGATTTTACAAAAAAAAAATGGAATAATTAAGCGTTTTCTGATTGGTTCATTTGGTTTGAAATTTTGAAGTTTCTATGTTAAATATTTTTTTTTTGAAAAAAAAAAATTAATGCGACAATTGTCTATAAACCTTGTTACCAATGTCAATTTAGACAATGGTATTTATATAAGTATACGTATATGTCTTCCGAAGAGGAAACTATAGTTGGATTATATAACCATTTTCAAAGTACTAGTGATCATTATTGAAGAAAATACATAAGTATACACGGATTTACAATAGACAGTGTTGATTTACTAATTGACTTGAATAACAAGTAAGTTTATATTCATACAATATTGTGATTATATAACTAGTAGAGTAGTGAAATGATTATGATTTTTGCATACTGGAATACTTTTTTTCTTTTTCATTTAAACATTATTGAAAATAGGTTATTTGATAATCTTATGTAGTTGGGTATCTAACTAAGATTTACTTACTTACTTACTTACTTACTTACTTACTTACTTACTTACTTACTTACTTACTTACTTACTTACTTACTTACTTACTTACTTACTTACTTACTTACTTACTTACTTACTTACTTACTTACTTACTTACTTACTTACTTACTTACTTACTTACTTACTTACATCTGTTACACTTCATTGAGGAGCATAGGCTGCTCACCAGCATTCTCCATCCAACTATGTCCTAGGCAATCCTTTCCTGTTCGTTCCAGTTGTTATTCATTTTTTTCATATCTGTTTCTATTTCCCGGTGTAATGTGTTCTTTGGTCTTCCTCTTTCCTGATTTTCTTCCTGATTCAAAGTTAGGGATTGCCTTGTAATGCACATTGGTGATTTCCTCAATGTATGCTCTATCCACTTTCGACGTCTTTTCCTAATTTCATCTAAGAAATTATACTTAAAGTATTTCCCATTTATTACTAAACTCGAGATGATTAGTAGTTATTCAGAAAATACTACATGAATGAGGAAACACTTATTGAGTAACATGAAAAGAACTATCAAGTTATGAGAAGGGGTGTTTTGTGGACATTTTACCAATTTTATATAGTTGAAATCATGAGTCAATTTAAATTAGATCACCATGGAAAACCTGGAAGCACTGGACGGCTGTTTCATCCAATTGTCGAACTCCTCAGCGGTGTGAATCCACGATCACGCCTCACGAGATTCGAACCCAGGATCTATTAACTATATAAAATTACTAAAATATCCACAAAACCCCCTTTTGATAAATTCAATTTTATTATTATTCTCTTTGATAATGCAGCATAGAAACAAGGTTTCTTGATCATTTATCTTTCTATTCATACTATCTAAATGTTGATTTCGAGATGAGACTATTTTATAATTTAATCAAGGGCTATTTTTGTAGTGAATGAGAATACAATTGGGGACAAACGAATGTGTGTGAATACAAAATAACAGAACGTCTTAATAAAATCTCAGATCCACGCAGTAAATACTTCATTTGCAAAATGTTAATCGATTGTCCCTAACTTCACTGTCCCTTTAATTCCACAACAATCATTCTCTGTTATCGTTCTTTTTTTTACTTTATTAACCTTCTGCCTTCAAGCATTTCACTTTTGATTGATGATATATACTACTTATATATGTTGACATAAGTAACACACATCATACTGTATCAATAAAAGGAATTGAATTTTTATAATATAAATGGTTTTGAGATGGTGGAGAAGATTTGTAGCTCAGGTGGGTGATTTTTATGTTGATTTGTTCTCTGAGCTGGATGGTTTGGTCGTGGAGCTTTCATCGTCCAAACACTTGACTTCTACCCGAAGTTTATGCTGATGATGTTGTTCAGCTCAGAGAATAAACCAACATATAATTGATTTTACATCATAGCATGGTAAAGATTATTTTCATTACATCACAGTCAAAAAATAAGCTAGATAATACTGAACTCCTGTCTTTTTTTGTTGATAACTTACTACACATGCACATCTTTAATATTACCAGGATGTAAATCAAGAAATTTAAAGTTTTTCACTATGAACGATACCTTGAAAGTATCGCATTTAGAACTAAGTCATATACATTTCTAACTTTACTTAATCAATGTCACAGTGAAACATTTATTGAATGTTACAGAGATATGCTGTATGATTTCTAGCATTGTTGGATTCTCATGTCATTGCCTCATTCATGTGTTAAACAGTTTTCATCGATGACACTGGATGACCATCGTGTTGTAAATCTAGTTATTTGAAGTTAAAAATGTATAATGTTTGATATGCTTAACCTTCAGACCTCTTAGTTGACATTCAACTGTGTTAATATCTAACTTAATATTAATGTCTAGCTTAAATCGACTCATGATTTTAAATCTGAAAACATCACAGTCTCCAAAACGTCTCCTTTCTGAAAACGGAAATTAATTTTTTTTCTTACTTGGATCGTTCTTTGAGTGAATTTTCACCTTTGACATATGTATAAACTAGGGAATTGGTATTTTTATAAGGTCAAATATATACGATTTATCCCGACCATAATGTTGATGAACACTCTAAAATTGAAACATCCAGTTTATTCAATATCCAAACTGTGATGTCTTGACCAAAGTCGTCGCTAATTTGTTGTGACCATACAAATTAACCAAGGACGTATCCTAATTCGTTATTTGTTTTTATTTCCGGCTTTTATTACGTGAATTATCCACCAATGGAAATACGACTTTTCCGACCTTAGCACTGTGGCAATGAATGACGTTCAACCGGTATAAGTAGTCTAGTGTCCGTATTGGTCCCTTGTCCGCTTAGGCCTTTCAAATGAGTCCAGAACACCAATTACAGCTTCCGTTATGCGAATCCTTTATTTGAAGCATACTCAGTTTACATATCAGACATACAGACCGCATCACACCATAAAACAGAAAATAATATTTGTATAATATCAAGCCGAATGTGGCTGTGAACGTGGGAGTTAATAATCAATAAACTGAGTATAGTTTAGGGACAGTAAATCGTATAATAATAATTCATAGGTCAAAATGAAGCTTATAATGAGATGAATATAGATATACATAATCTAATTACTCAATAGTTAAACCATAAGAATATATATAGAATAATCGTCCATTATTAGGTCCTGGGAGATACCCGTACTCGTGTCTTCGCTAGTATATAACACAAACATAGTTCTTGTTTGAATAAAGTGAGTAGTGTATCAACAAAATTTAAAAGCTGAATTCATGAGTCTATTAAAGCTAGACCACCATGGAAAATCCTGAAGCACTGGGTGGCCGTTTTGTTTTAGTGTGGCAGGCAGTAACTCAGTGAATAAAATAGTGGACGATAGCGAAATTTCATGGATCGGTTTAAGTTAGACATTTACACCGTTGGACGGCGGCTTAGTGGTCTAGAGGCTTAGCGTTCACGTGCAAGACCGAAAGTCCTGGGTTCGAATCCCACGTGCGAGATTATGAATGCTCAGTACTGAGGAGTCCCATACTAAGACGAAACGGTTTATCATGGTGGTCTAACTTAATCAATTCATGAATTCAACTATATAATTACTACAATCTCCACAGCACTCCCTTTCTGATAATAATTCTATCATAACTACCAAACATTTTAAGAACGCAACTATGTAGACCGTAATCCCATGAACATAAATCTTATCATTTATCATATAAAGCTACATTATTGATTCAATCATCTAACGAGATATGATTAACATTCCCCCTAGAAATTAATCGCTTTCCCTTCTTTTCTTAGTTTATTCTGTCCATGTTGTATCTAGGCTATAGTCTATATAAACAACTATGGGATTATATGAAGGAATGTTTGGGAAAATGTTGCGTTCTTTTTTTTTAATAGTTGACATTCAAAAGTTTTATTGATTGTTATATGATATGTAGTTTGATTTTTCATTTTATTGTACCTACTTTATGTATATTTTTTTATCTTATTTTTAAGTGACTACTTATAAAATGGTATTATAAGTAGTTGAATAATCATATGAGATAAATTAATCATTATGAAAGTGATAAAGTGTATATTCCAGTAGATATTAAGTTAAATAGTACTTTCATAATTGTAATCATGAGTCAATTAAAGCTAGACTAACATGGAAATCCTGAAAGCACTGGACAGCCGTTTCATCTTATTATGGGATATCTCAGCAGTGGGCAACTATGAAAATATTAAATTCTCCACAAAACCCCTTCTGATCTATAATCATATGCTTACTAGTGATTAACTTCAAGGAATGTTTCCTTGAGTTCTAGTGGGATGCAGTGACCAATGGAGTTCAACCAATTCTGTTGTAGAGATAAAAATTCACTGAAGACAATTGGTGAACGGTTGCTCAACTTCGTGAATTGGTTGAAGTTAGACATTAACACCGTTTGATGCCAGCACAATGGTGTATCGGCCATGTGCTATGACGCAAAACCGGTAGGTTCTGGTTTCGAATCTTGTGAGTGAGGGATCGTGGATGCTCACTGCTGAGGAGTCAAACAGTAGGGCGAAATGTTCGTTTAGTGCTTCCAGGTTTTCCCTGGTGGTCTAGCTTCAATTGACTCATGATTTTAACTATGAAGAATACTGAAATTTCCACAAAAACCCTTCTGAATATCTGTTTCAATATAACATTACAGAACATCCTAGTAAAATCTGGGAACCATAAAGTAAATACTTGATTTGCAAAATGTCAATCCATTGTCTCAGATGTTGTTGTTTATTCGTTTCTATGGCAATCATTCTCTGATCTCATTCTCTTTTTTTCGATTTCTTGGATGTTATGCCACCAGACATTCCACTTTTGATTGATGATATATACTACTTATATCTGTCGATATCAGTAACACACACCACAATACAACATGTAAGTAGTAAACAGGACATGAAAGTTATTTCATATTTCTTTTTTCTGTAAACAGTAAAATATAGTAAAAGTTTGTCCATGAAATCAACTAAACTTTAAGACTTAATGACCACAAATGTTATGACTTTATAAAAGACGGCCGTAGGCCAATTTGTTGTGGTCTTATTCCCGACATTTTATCATGTAAGTTATCCGCCAAACAGAATACGACTTGTCTAATCTTAACACTGTGCCAAATCAATGACGTTCAACTAGTATGAGTAGTCTAGCGTCCTTATTCGTCCGTTGTCCGCTTAGCCCTTTCAAATGAGTCCAGAGCACCAATTACAGCTTCTGCTATACGAATCCTTTATTTCAAGCATACTCGCTTTATATACCAGTCAAACAGACCGCATCATTTTGCGGAAATAAACACAAGTCATAGAGAAATAAAGGATAATACAAAGGATAGGACTTATGAAGTAAGTAGGGGTAATCACAAATATTTCATATTATTAGACAATAATAAATGGTGGAGATTTGTGGCTCAGGTGGATTATTTTAATGAAGTTTTGTTCTCTGAGCTGGATGGTTTGGTTGTCTAGCTTTCATCATCCTTCTGAACGACAGCTACCCGAAGTTTATGCTGATGATTTTGTTCAGAAGGATGATGAAAGCCACACGATCAAACCATCCAGCACAGAGAACGAAAATTCATCACAATAATATATATTATTGATTGAATTAACTGCCTGTATGATATACAAAAGTAATTATTTATGTAATTACTTAATTAATTATACCTATTACCCCTCATGGAGGAGCATTGGTTGCCTCTTCCAAAGTTTCTTCATCAAGTTTGTGATTAGATTGGTATGTTCTGTGTTGCATTTGAGAATTATTTGTATAACTGTAAATATTCAATGATTAAACTTAGCGTAGAAGACAGCAATCTGTATTATCTCTCTACATGATAAGATGATTGTTGTTTTTAATTTCAGTTTAAAAACCTATAAGTATCAGTCTTGTCATGAAACATAAAAACTCCAGGTTCAGTCCTCAGTGTAATTATGAATCGTCAAAGCTGATTAGCTAGAAAGTATGACACAACAGTAGAAGTGGACAAGTTTGACATTGATCACTACTCGCTACTTAGTCATTGTAAATTTCTCAGTCCTATATGAGATCTGTCACTCCTCGAATACTTCAGTGGTAACGTCTCATATTGTGGAATTAAGTAATGACGGCTTGAATAAACCAGTAGGTAACAATTCCTTCAGCTATGTCTTACTGATGAGCGCTGACTAGAATGTTCCCAGACCAATACCTTCAACGAACTGATATCTCAATATAATACACCCAATCTCAAGTTACTTAGATTACTGACCACATTCCAACTCAATTGTTAGGATCTAATCATTAGTAAATTATTAGAAGAGCATGACATTGTTCACTAAACAATGGTCGATCAATGTGAATGTGACAACCGTTCAACACTAACTTATTATAACGTTAATTTGTAACGGTCAATGATACAAATTTGCTTGTCATCGAACAGTTTTGAAAAATCTCTCTTCATGTAGCTTAATACTCTTAATTCAGTTAAAGAAAATATGATTTCCTCATAAGTAATTGTCTCATCAGTGACAGCGAGACTATAATTTATGTACGAACAAATCAGATATATGATAACACGTCATGGATTTTGGCAATATAGATGATGTTAGTTCGTGATAAAAACCCTAAATTTAATTCCTAACCTTAACCATCATTTGCAAATCACCATTCTATTGACTCACACTAGTTTATAACTATTATTTGATCCTAGATATTGAGTGGACACTCTCAAGATCACTTCAGAGTCTCTCAAAGGTCGTCCATAGATTATAGTCTTACTTCAATGACATCTTTTTTTTAAAAAAATGTATAAATTACCTTGAAAAAAAGGAAATACAATATCAAATATTGGAAGCTGAAAGTAGATAGCGGCTAATTTTATCTTCCTGTTTACAGGAAAGCTAGGGGCGGCCAGACCAAAACGTGGCACAAACCCATGAAGTCACTGACAAGTGGACTGAGCCATGTTGGTAGGTGTAGACTACCTCGTTTGGATTCGCGAGATGATAACAACCGATGGTTAGAGACCTTGAATGACATGGTTCAAAATCGTTTGCAGTGGCGAAGGTGCATCCACTCTTTGTGTTCTACTAAATTCTAATCTTCTGAATTCCTCATGTCTTTATCTTTTTCTCTTTCCAAATTTATTTCACTGTACTATACTCTTTCAATAAAATCTTTAAACCCTAACCTTTCCGATTACTCATACTACTTCTACCACTATGGGATTTGAATCGACAACTTCATCTCCGTGTTAATATGGTATGGCAACTCGAACTGATGTACGTATGTACGAAGTTCTACGTTGTATCTGACTAACTGATTGTTATTCCTTGATTTAATACAATTATCCATGATATATACCATATATTGACTTTTTCTTTCCTTTTTTTTCATGATTTACTTTCAAGGTATGGTACTAGAATTTGGTCTTGGATTTTTAGATCGTTTAGCTGGTGCTAAAACTAATGCATTTACACATTTAGAAGATTTAGCTGATAGATTAAATCATTTTTTTAGTTGTGCTATTATACTTATGTTATCTGGTGTAACAATGGCTAATGTATATTTTCTTAGACCAATTGCATGTACATTACCAACATCACCAGATAATAAATTTAATGAATTTGCTGAATCTGTATGTTGGGTACGTGGTACAATAGCTATACGAGAAAATGATCAAATGCCATTAACCGATGAAGATTGGGAGAAATTACGTGATAAAGCTGATATGTGTAAGTGGTTAATGTACATTTATATGGTATTGTTCTGTGGATTATTTGACATTTGTTCCTTACTGAAGTCAGCTAACAGAATTTTATAGATCAGTGTTTCAAACATGTATGTATGTATGTATGTATGTATACTTACTTAAGCCTGCCACCTCTTATGGAAGAGAATAATCTGCCCATTAGCACTCACCATTAAATCCTGTTTTGGACAATCCTCTACTGTTCTTTCTTTTCATATCTGCTTCATATTCTAGGTGCAGTGGGTTCTTTGAACTTTCTCTTTTCTGCTTCTCTTGAAGATTTTATGTTATTGCTTGTCTTGTGATGCAGTTTGATGGTTTCTCTGATGTATGTCTTATGCACTTCTAACATCTTTCCCTAATTTCCTCCTCAGCCGGAAGTTAGTTTGTCCTCTCCCGTAGTATTTTGTTGCCGATGGTATCTGACCAACAGACATCGAGTATCTATGTAGACAACTGTTTATAAATAGTTGTACCTTTTGGATGATCGTTGTCATAGTTTTCCAAGTTTCAGCCTAGTACAGTAGAACTATCATGACGTTCGTATTGAAGATTAATACAAATAATACTCACTTTATTCAATGGCGTTCATTTGATTACTGAAAACATTTCCCAGTACGAAATATGCGAAATTGCAATAAAATTTCCCTGTTTACCAAGGAGTTAACATGTAGATATCAAAATTGTATGCAAAGAAAATCTTTTAAATAATGATTACTTATTATTCATATTCATCCGTAAATGTTGACGATCGATCTTACCCCATGATATCACTTTCAAATCTAATTATTACACTTACTTATTTACTTAATTACGCCTATTATTCTCAATGGAGCATAGGCCGCCGACCAGCATTCTCCAACCCATTCTGTCCTTCTCCTTCCTTTCTAGTTCTATCCAGTTTTTGTTCATTCTTCTTGTGTCTGTCTCCATTTCTCGACATAATGTGTTCTTCGATCTTCCTCTTCTTATTTGGCCTTCAGGATTCCATGTGGGAGCTTGTACTGTGATACAGTTGGGTGATTTCTTCAATGCGTGTCCTATCCACTTCCAGCGCTTATTCCTGATTTATTCCGCCACTGGAATCTGGTTTGTTGTCTCCCACAGTAGGTTGTTGCTGATAGTGTCTGACAAACGGATCCGATCTATCTTGCGTAGACAATTGCTAATAAACACCAGTATCTTCTGAATGATGGCCTAGGCCTCCGCCTGTAGCCCCTCGGGAATTACTGCCGGTCCTAATGCCGGATAAAGGAGGAGAGTTGGGCATGGGGTTAGCGATCCCATACGATAGAAAACTAACTCGCTAAAAAAACGCTAACCAGAAAGAATAATTCAAACCATTATTACACTTAATGTGTGAATTCTCTCGTTTCTGTAAAAGACAGATGAAGAGATCTATCTGATGAAATTTATACGAAGTTTGTAGACAATTCCCATCAATGATTGACATCAGGTTGATAACATTTATATAAGTTTGATTATTAGAATTTAAGAAATAGATCCTTTGTTATGATGGAGTTTAGATCAGTGAATATGGCTTTTAGATCATCTTTAACTTTTCACGATCTCGATCATAAACATCATATTCACAGTAATTAAGTCTGCCAAAAAAGGTCATCAGAAATAGTCTAATTACTCGTTTAAAGCTTAGCTAAGAGCTGTTCATTATAAATTTAAAGTTATCCAGTATCTGGGCTGACATAATCAAGGGTAACCAAGGAACACTGGAAAGCTGTCTAATTTTCTGAAGTGCATAGATATTGTTATTATTATCATCAATTATCAGAAGTAGTTTTGTGGAGATTTAGTGTTTTCGTAGTTGACATCATGAGTCAATTGAAGCTAGACCACCAGGGAATACCTGGTAGTATTAGACGGCCGTTTCGTCCTATTATGGGACTCCTCAGCAGTGCGCATCCACGATCCTACCTCCTCGCGAGATTCGAACCCAGGGACTATCAGTCTCGCTCCAGAGCATTTAACCGATAGACCACTGAGCCGGCATCCAACGGTGTTGCTGAGGAGTCCCGCAATAAGACGAAACGGCCGTCCAATGCTTCCAGATTTTCCATGGTGGTTTAGCTTCAATTGACTCATGATTTCAACTATGAAAAATTATATTTGAAACTAAAAATCAAATACAATTGAAGTGGTGAAAAGTCAAGTGAGGGAACCAAATTATAATAAGCACAGATGGATGATGTCTAATAGTGGAATCCAGAACTCACATTTCGTGTTTTCTTTGGGACTCATCAGATTCACATACCTGCATCCCAGAGTTGATCTTCACTCCGGGACGAATCTCAAATAGGACCAAAGGCACGTCCTACATTGCTGTGCTAGCGACCATCAATCTCCTCTTACAATGTTTGTGACTAAAGGCAATATACAGTCAGTCCTAACAGGATTCAAATATGCCAAAAGGAAGCTGATCAATTGCTATCCTAAAATCAGTTAGAAGACCCAAACAAACAAATGAAAATCCACACTGGCTTAGTGAAATATGAAAACCATACATTAAATACATCATTTACATATCTTTGCGTTAGTCTTTTCACACTCCATTATTCTTCGGATTCTTTTGTTATTTAGACTGTTCTCGGATTTCCTCCTTCTTATTTTGATTATAATCTTTTGCTGCCAAGCATTCTACTTCCGATTGGTGTACTTATATCTGTCAGTATAAGCAGCAGACACCATACAATCATAAGTTATAAGTGAGGATATTTTTATCGCAAGAGTGTAAATATTTTCTTAGTTAACTCAGCTTACTTATAAGTAGTTGAAGTAACATTTCAAAATATCGTCTCTGTTTAATAGTATTATTCGTGGATTACAATATTCGGAGAATACAACCAAAACCGCCTTGTTGTTTCTTAAATAATCTTTACTTTATAACAAGAGATAATCACAATTAGGCTGTAAATGTACACAAATTTATATGTAGTATGAGTAAAGCTGTATTCCTGACTGAAGAGAGATTGTTCAGTCAACAAATAGTAGTAGTATTCAACAAAATATGTGCTGTTTTTTTTCATGTCTAAGTAACATACAGTTTGAACTTTATCGGAAGAAGTAGAATATGTGAAGAATATCTGGAGAAAGAAAGTGAATTCCAAAAAGTACAATTAAAAAATTTCAGTTCAATGAAACTATTCATTACTGTGTAGTGACCTGCTTTTCTCAAGGAGAACGCAATTGGTATAATGGAAACAATTATTATTATAACCAATTGTACCAGCGATTGTTGTACTGTACTCGTTGTTGTTTAACTGTATCAAAATCACTTCTCTTTCGATCTTCTGCCTTGTTCGCTTGAACTTTCTTACGCTCTGCCTTTATTTCCTGTACTCGTTGGCACGTTTCGGTATTCTTTCGATAACACGAGATCGCCAATAAATATACTTTATCTGGATCAGTTACTGCCTTCTGATTTACCAGCTATCAAAGGAACCAAGTCGTTTACGGGCGCGTAATCTTACTGTAGTGGTAATCATAGTCATTCGAGACTCGACGCCATCTACAACTGTAACACTCTGATGCTTATCCCACAAGATTTCAAATAAACTTACTTATGGAATATCACCATACAAGATATTATACTCTCATTTACTATATAGGTGCATATATAAACTATACATTTTACAAACACCAAGGGTGATTAGCTAATACATCATATGAATATGATCACACCAAGACTTGATAAATCATGTTTCTGGTAAAAACCAACTATGTAAGTAAAGATATGCAGATACCAAGTTGGTTTTAAGAAATTGATAGAAATTTCTTAACCATTTCTCTGCGTTTGAACAGAAATGAATATACAACAAAAATACCAGTCTCTGACAGCTTTTGTTATCCATGGTCAGTGTTTTGAAAATCAATATATTTAGTGAACATTCCTTGAAGTCATAAATTAAAGTAAAGCACTCTTGGCCAAAATCTAATATATATATATATTCAGCACAACCAGACCTTGACAACAACCTGAAGGCTTTACATAAATATGAGTCACCCTAACATATCGTAGCTCTAGAAGAGCTACAGGCGGTGCGAGGAAACAATACGAACGTCAAGACAGTTAGTCCTACTGTACGGAGCTGAAACGTGAAGAACTACTACAACCATCGTAAAGAAGGTACAAGTATACATAAATAGTTGTCCTCGCAAAATATTCAATATACGTTGACTAGATACCATTAGCAATTACCTACTTTGGGAAAGAACTAACCAACTTCCGACTGAATAGGAAATTAGGGAAACATATTAGAAGTGGATAGGACATAAATCAAAGAAAACACCAAATTGCATCACGAGGTAAGACCTAACTTGGAATGGTGAAGGGAAGCGAAAAAGAGGAAGGCCAAAGAACACATTACACCAGGAAATAAAAGCAGGTATGAACAGGATGAACAACAATTGGATAGAACTGTAAAGCCTTGCTCAGGACAGGGTTTGATGAAGAATGCCTTTGTGCGACCTATGCTCCTCCATGAAGGAGTAACAAATGTAAGTAAGTAAGTCACCTAATGAGAAGATAAAATGGTTGATAATGTGAACAAAATCATATCAGTAATTACTTAACTAAAGTTTATTCATGAGTTTCATTGAAGTTCTTTCACTTATACTTAATAGTACCTTATTTGTTTTTTCTTTTCTTCTCTTTTTTTTTCTCTCTTCAAATAGCTTTCTATCAATGGGTCCCATTTTGTTTATCCATTCAAGCAATGTTATTTTTTATACCCCATTTAATATGGCAACTATTAACCACACATATATTAGGTATCAATTTAGAAACTATTTTAGATATGGCATATAAAGCAAATACAGCAGATGATTATATTAAACGATCAAAATGTGTTGAATCCGCTGCCTATCAGTTATTCCGTTTATCACGTCAACATTATTGTACTTATTATGAATCATCAAAATTTCCTAAAAAATTTCCATACTACTATTCATTTAAAAAATTCTTTCTTATTAATAAACATATCGGTAATTATATATCAGTAGTATATATTTTTATTAAATTATTATATTTATTAAATTTAATTGGACAATTATATATTATTAAAATCTTTCTCGGTTACCATGGTAACTTATTCAAATTTGGCAGACATTTATTATTTACATTAAAAACAAAACATGAATGGATTGAAAGTGAATTTTTTCCAAGACAAACTTATTGCCCAATACAAGTACGTCATCTTGGTACTAAAAATAATAAATTTACAGCTATATGTGCATTACCTATTAATATGTTTAATGAAAAGATATATATATTTTTATGGTTATGGATAGCCATTATCACCATGGTAACTATTATTAGTATCTTAATATGGTTAATACGTTTAAGTATAAAAAAATATCAAACTACTTATATTTATCATTATTTAGTAGTATCTATACAATCACAATTATTAGATAAATATTATAATCATTCATTAGATTGTATGGGTTGTAATATCCAATTACATAATCATCATAATCATAATAAGGATATACGTATTGATTATTTTATTAAAAAATTTGTTAAAAATGATGGTTATTTTTTAATACAAATGATACGTGATAATATTGGTGATATTGTTACTGGGGAAATATTAAATCAATGGTGGCATATGTTTATTGATTATTATAATGCTTATTTAATAAGGAAAAAACAATTAGAACAATTAAGTGAAAATAATGATAAACAAAATATGAATGAAAAACAATATGGTTTTATTAATATACCATTAACAGATAATGAAATTATGTTAGATACAAATTCAAATAAATCAAATACTAATTTTGTTTAAATTAATGACAACAACAAATTAAATAATGGCGGTAACTTTGTTTAAATGATATTCGATTTTTCGAGTGCGGGAAATTTGAATTTTTTTTTTTGATTGATACATTAAATTTAGGAGAATTTATATCTTATCGAACTTTTTTTTTATTTATGAAACGTAATAAACTTCCGTTAAACAAATTATATAATCATGAATAAACAAATCATATTATCAATCATAATGTTTGAATTAATGTAATGCTACTGACAACAAATTGAATGATGGCGGTAATTTTGTTTAAATGAGGATCAATTTTGTATGCGCGGGAAATTTAAATTTGAATTTTGTTTTTGATTGATACCATGAATTTAGGACTATATATATATATGAAACTTTTGTTAAATAAATTCTGTAATCATATTATGAACCGTCATGTAGTTGATCATTTCATCTTATTTCATTTCATTAAAAGATTCTTCCTTTCAAAGATTATTTATAATAAAAATTGTATTCTCATAGTTATTTTAGATAGTTTAAACAAAATATACTTTAGTATATAAATTCAATGTGGCTAACTTTATTAATATTGATATTAATAGTATATTTGATCAAGTGGAGTGGAAGACAATTGATAGATTGCTAAGTTGTACAGTGGATGGATATAACATTTAACATGAATGGAATGCCACTAGTAATAACATGAATACTAGATTATGTTAAATTTTATCAAGATGAATTAGGTTTGAGTCTCACGTGTGGGATGGTGGATGAGCACTACTGAGGAGTCCCATAGTAGGATGAAATAGTCATCCAGCCTTTACAAGCTTTCCATAGTGTTCGAGCTATAATGGACTAATGGATTCAACTATTAGATTAATAAAATCTCCACAAAACCCCTTGTCTGATAAAAAAAAGGTTAAATTAATAAAATATTTCAATGAAAATATAAAAAAAAGTCAATTAGAATAATGTTGATCTTAACAATAAGCTGATTACTGATTCTATGGGTGAACTCAACAAATATCATATCATTGATTTCTAGGACAAAATACAAATCAAAATACAAATACAAATCCCTTATACATCCAATACTATTTTATCTTAGGACTGCAAATATTATGTCACTTAGACTAGTGATCAGAATGTAGGTTAATAGATGGAACTAGACTACCAAGAATTGTTAAATAAGTAATCACTATGCAATAAATGTGAATACCTCAGTCTCATAAAGCATGAGTAGAATAACTGCAATGTGTCTGGCTACGGTGATAAGTAGTACAGCTTTGAAAACCACAAGAAGCTACAGTTTTCGAATAGTTTTGCATGTCCTACTTAATGAAGACTACCATCAGTATGGCTAACTTTAATAATATTGATATTAATAGTATATTTTGATCAAGTGGAATGGAAGATGATTGATAGATTGTCTAGTTGTAACGTTTAACATGAATGAAATGTGACTAGCAACAGTAGTGCGGTCTACTTATATCCATATAACTAGTATATGGTGATGGTCAGACATAGTAAGTATTTTGGCAGAAGATTGATAAGGAAAGAACAGGAATGAATCGCAATTGGTATGAAATGCAAGAATAATGAAATCAGAGAAGATGGACTGATATTTGCAGAAGGAACAGTTAAGATCGAGACAAGTGGTCGTTATTTTGCAAATTAACTGTTCACTGTATGGTTATCAGAATTTGGTGAGATAGTCTATAATGTGTGCCTTAATACAATCGATTGTCCCCACCCGTTTTTTGTTCACTACAACGTGATTACTGGATCATGTTAATATTATCACGATGAATTGGGTTACCATTTGGTGATGAGTACTGAATGAAAACCTCTATCTTTAAATGTTGTAGTAATTCATTTTTCTCAATTATCACCCTCAATAGAAACAAAATGAACAGTTGCTTATCTTTTTTCATTTTCGACCAAGCCTTACGATTAAAGGATCAATATATTTATTCTTATCGTCTCAATTATTGTGGTTAGTAGAATTATAATATACGTATACCAAGTAAAGGATAAAGTTATTAATCATACTTTTAGCAAGTATTCAACGTGAATGAATAATCTGTAACGCGAAACAACTCACCAATATAAATAGTTCTGTAAGTCTTCTACACTAATGCTGACCTAATTAGTTTTACTGGAAACAATGTAGCCGAAGAGTTTCGGTTACGCATACGCATCAGGTCGTTAGTGCGTACGCCATGCTACACATCGCTCGTGACAGCCAGCCAGCTTAGATCACATACTTCTCGAGATGCCGACTATTTTCTAAATGTACCTTCGAAATCACTCATTCCTGAATTCTGGTTTGACTAGATCTGGGATCTTTCGATTATAAAAATGTTACAGACAAAGGCATTTTCAAGCCCATAATATTCGTGCCGTCTTTAAATCTATTTGAAAAATATGTGTGTAAAGGATAGAGTAATAACAAAGTCAGTGAACCATTGTTGAGACTTACGTATAAAATTTAAAGTGAGATAGGCAATTAAAGTATTGAGACTGAGATAGGATAAAATGATAAGGTTACATATGAACACTATATTCACAAAAATTTCCATAGGAACGTAGACAAAATTGGTGGTCGTTATAATCTGGTTGTTGGTTAAGGTTGTAAGAACGAAAGAAATAAAATAAAGGATTTTCGTATGCGTATGAATGATTAAAAAAATATACCTATTCATTTTTTTAGCTGTGCTAATAAAACGCGAATATAAAACACTAGATTATCCACTGTGACCTCTGATATGATGTTGATTGGTAAGGTCTTGTTGATTCTGTATTCCATATCTACAGAATGAGACAGTATTAAACCTTTGATGGATTGCTTTAGTCCTTCACCTAGCCACATTGTATAAGTTTCAAGATTGTGATTATGAGGTTGCCATGTCGTTCTGCCTATGAACTGTATCCACAGTTAAATGTAAGAGTTACCGTGTAGGTTGACGAGCGTGAAAGCTTATCCATAACTTAGATCAGAATTATATATTGGTTTCAGACCAGGCTCGGAATGTTCAGCTTTAATATAAACAATTCCATGAAGGTACTTTCACCGATGAATTATTGTAAGGTCAAATATTTGATGAAATGTATGTCACAAAAATTGGTTCTTAAAGAAATATGAAAGTCCAAAAATCCAAAAGAAGAAAATAGACCATATTTACCAACAGAAATAATCTCTAATTAAATAATGCGTTTGGGATTCTGAAGAGAAATATACTGTATCTGAGTCTCGGTGTAAACATAAACACTGAGGTGCAGGTAAATCAAGGTGACAAATCTCGAATATGACTACACAAGCATTCTGAATATCATAGCTAACCACAATCCATCACTGCTTAAAATAATAATATAGAGACGATCAGAACAAGATACACATATTCCAATAGAAATCGGTTGATTGCGGTCATTAACATCAACAACGGGAATATTCGAACAACCATTAAGAAATTATGTGCTTGCGTATGTCCATTCTTTTGAAAACTCGTTGTCTATGAATGACTTAAAACGATTATCATAGTAGAGCGTCACATTATCTTGATAATGATCACTGTTCCGAGGCAATCTGAATAGTCCCAAGAAGTTGTTCTTTTCCACGAAGTGACGAACTTGTATAAGTGCAGGAATTCTGCCACCTCTATCAAAGGTAAATTCCTTATGATCGTGCTGATAAATTTTATGTTTATCTGAATTCTTTGGCAAAATGTTTTCTCCCAACGATGGTGAGAGACCAGCTAAAAGTTCTAACAACAGCGAATCAGCAACACGTAGTGTATTTATTGAGAATGGAGTTTTCCAACGACTTCTCCAACATCTCAAACGAAATATATCTTCCAGTGGTAAGAAGTGTGACCAATATAATTGGCAAACAACTGCCAACTGAGCTAGTCCAAGCGACTTCTCAGGAGTCCTTAAAGAGGAAACTTGACTTATTCTTAAGGACTAAGGATAACATATTATTATGATTTACCAAATTCTTTTTTCCTCTATTATCGTTCATATACCTAGGTTTTTGCCTGGAGGTATTGGTGATCCACTGCTACTAGACACGGAAGCCCGTTAAGTGAAAGCTTCTTCTATTCCGTCCTCAACCATTCGAACCATTTGAACACTAGGGCTAGGTTTCGAAAATGGCAGTGACTGTCATAATTGTTGTGATTATCGTTGCTTTTGTGTATTTGCTGTATCAAAAGCATTCTTGGTCTACTTTAACTTGAATTAATCCAGTTAAGGTTTGAAATTTTATTGAAAACTTTGTCTCGTGGTTCCTTCTTTTGCATATACTCTGACGCTTGTGCTATTATTGTGATCATTTTGTTTTTTAAAACCTAATCTGATTACAATGGTTGGTAGTTCATTCAAATTTGGACAGCCGAACTGTTTATTCCCCGTAGATGAAGGGATGCAGTGCGATGAATGCAAAAAATGGTACCACAAGATGTGTACCCGTCTCAGTCCAGCTGCATACAAAAGATGTTCTAAGCCTAACTCTCACTGGCTTTGTATGTTCTGCTGTACTAACAAGACGACATTAATCCAGGAGGCTATGAGCCTATTGGCTCTAGCCTGTAAAAAGAAAGATAGTGGGTGCGCTAGTAACGCAAGCACTGACAGTGAAGACTGTCAGTGTTGTAAGTGCTTTTACAAAACGCGCTGAACAACCCACTCTAATTAATGACAAAGTGAAACTTCTGTTACAACAAACGAGGAGTAAATCACCACATGGTATTGACATGAGTAATCATGTATCTTTAGTAGAAATTGAGGACCCGGATAAAACCGTCACCGTCCCCAATAGTCCCAATGCAGCTGCCCTGAATGACCAAAAATGGACCGCAGTAAAGAGGAAAAGAAAAGGAAAAAAGCTAATGATAAAGCACACTTGGTTGACAAGCCATTGAGGAACTCACAGTCTGAGTCACTCAATGCATTATCGCACTCTGATAGAACGGCAGATCATCATCCTAGTGCGACTGAGAGGAATTTAATATCATCGAATATTATTGTGAGTAAATTGCCAGAGTCTAACGATCCAGATCCTAAGGTTAGACACACCCATGACTTAGAGAGGCTCGGAAAATATATCCGTAGCATATTTCCAGATAACAATAAAGGTGTTCAGGTCAAAAAATTAGTTAGAATAGGTAAAAGGGCCGATGACAGTGTTCTACCCCGACCGTGTAGACTCCTTAAGGTAATCTTAGGGTCGGAGAAACAACGTAACCTTCTGTTAAGTAACGCTCGAAGTCACGACAACTCTGACATTCGAGTTAGACTGGATATGTCTCTTGAAGATAGAATAAGGAGGAAGACGGCATTAGCTGAACTAGAAGCCCGTCGACAAAACGGTGAAGAAAATCTCCGATTGGTGGGTTTTCGAATAGTCAGGTCTTGGAAGCGAATGCTACCAAGGTCTGTGTGGATAGGTCGTTCCCCCTAGGAGTTTTATACGCCAACGCCCGTAGTCTAAAACATAAATTCTACGAGCTAGGAACATTAGTGGACAAATTAAGACCACTCATTGTAGCTGTGACAGAAACATGGTTAGTCCATGACTTCGATATCACCCCAGAATTATCCGGATATCATTGTTTATGAAGTGAAAGACATAGATGCAGGAAAGGAGGTGGCGTCCTTCTATACATAACCAATAGTATAAATATCCGCTCCTCCGTTTGCGAATCCCATGATAGTGGAACTAGTGAAGTCATTAGCTGTGAACTCACTGTCTGATGTTGTACATTTGCACTCGGTGTCATCTATCGCAGCCCAATCTGCTTAGCTGATGACTTTATTTTAGAGCACATTCGGCTATGGAGTGCAAATAACAGATGTTTGATACTAGGAGACTTTAATGCACCTGACATTAGTTGGACTGAGATGACCACGAAATGCTCTATAAACTCATTTGATAGCAGGCTCTTGGAAACAGTAATGGAACATGCATTAGTACAACATGTATCCAAACCTACACGTTTTGGTGTAAACCAAGGTTCTTCTGTGTTGGACTTGGTAATTACCCATGAGACTGAGGATATTGCCAACCTAAATATTCTTCCCCCGTTATTAAATAGCGATCACGCTGTTTTATCATTCACGTTTAGAGCTAGCGATATGGTATACGATCAGATTAAGCCTCGCCCAAACATATGGAGAGCTAACATACCAGAAATTCAGGATTGTGCTACTAAGATAGATTGGTCAGTAGATACTAGCTCATCAGTTGATGAGGCGTGGTCTGTATTTAAAGGCAAGTTTAGTGCAGTCACATCCCCGTTCATACCACACTTGGTGCCACGTAGACCGAACAATAGTCCACCGTGGATGAATAAAGAAGTTAAGAAACTCCTTAGGCGTAGAAAAAAACACTGGAACATGTTCATCTCTACTGGCTTAGAACAGCACAGATCTAGTTATCGTAAGATTAGAAATAATTGTAAAGCGTTAATTAGTAGGACTAGACGGTCATACGAAAAACAATTGGTTAGGGATTGCAAACATAGTCCCAAACGGTTATACTCGTATATAAAGAGGCGAACTCAGAGAAGTGATGGAATACCATCACTTTCGATACAAGAAAATCCGTTAAGTTTGGCAAGAAATGATACCGAAAAAGCGGAAGCTTTTTCGGAATATTTCAGTAAAGTTTTTTCTACCAATAATGAGGAACGATCACCTATTCATTGTGATTGTGGCGACTTGTTGATGGACCCTGTAGTTATTAAGAAAGAAACTGTTTTAAGCCTACTTCAGCATCTCAAACCTGATAAGTCTAGTGGTCCTGATGATATTCATCCTCGGATGCTGAACCCTTAGCGATGCTGTTCGATATGTCCCTACGGCAGTCCAGATTGCCCAGAGACTGGAAGGACGCAATAATCAGTCCGGTGTATAAGACTGGGGGTAGGGATTTAGTTAGTAACTATCGACCCGTCAGCTTAACTAGTGCAGTTGTAAAACTAATGGAAAAAATTATTAGGATGGCTGTTATAAACTACGTGGAAAGACATGATCTTTTGTCAAAGGAACAACATGGTTTTCGAAAAGGTCTATCATGTTTGACAAATCTTCTCATTGCAAGAGAAGATTGGGCTGAGGCAAAAGATCGCAATGTTCCTGTAGATGTCATTTTCATAGATCTAAGTAAAGCCTTTGATAAGGTTTCCCATTCTGGTCTTTAATTGAAACTAGAAAGTTTTGGAATTCATTATGCAGTCATAGACTGGCTAAGTGACTTTCTTCATGAAAGGAGACAAAGAGTAAGAGTAAATGGAGCTCTCCCATCGTGGGAACCAGTGAAAAGTGGAGTCCCCCAAGACATTATCCTAGGTCCTTTTTTCTTTTTACTTTATGTAAATGAATTACCAACTATAGCTAAGTCATCCGTCCTACTATTCGCCGAGGACATAAATGTTTGGAGACCCATATATAGTATGTCAGACAGAATAGTATTACAGGAAGATCTTAACTCACTAGTTGCATGGATGAATGGGTGGTCACTAGAAGTAAACCCTAAGAAAAGTGTTGTGATGCAATTAAATAACTACGATGATTCGTATCACTACACAATATGTGGACTAGTGTTGCCCAAAGTAAGAAACTATAAAGATTTAGGAGTCATACTAAGTAATGATCACAAAACAACCAGTCACTGTAAGGCTGCTGCTGCAAAAGGCTATAGGGCATTATGGTCTATTCGTAGATCTTTCCGGTATCTGGATGGGGAAATGTTTAGATTATTATACCCAACTTTCGTACGGCCACATTTGGAATATGGGATTCAAGCAGCGAGTCCTTGTTTCAAATATGAGGCGGATATGTTGGAACGAGTCCAACGCCACGGGACAAAAATGGTAAAAGGCTTATCTAGTCTATCTTATGAAGACAGACTGAGACACCTCAACTTATTTCCGTTATCTTACCGGCGAATACGGGGTGATCTAATATTGGCATATCGTATCCTGAACTATGACCTTGGTACTAACATGTCCTATCTATTAATCCCGTCTAGGGCTGAGCATTTGAGAGGACATTCAAAGAAAGTCCAAAAACCGAGATCAAATCGTCTACGTCTGGAGTTTCTTTTCTCTCTCACCGAGTAGTGAATTACTGTAATTCTCTACCAGAACACGTAATATCAGCACCTTCTGTTGATATATTCAAGACGAGATTGGACCTCCACAGTGTAACAAACTGCAAGGATTAAAATAGGTCACTAGACCTCCTATCCTTATTACTGAAGACTGAAGACTGAAGGTTTCAACTCATTCAAAACTGTGCGTTACCGTCTGGTTCCGCCTATTGGATTGTTATAATCGTACGCTTATGTCATTGTTAACCACTCTTTCCCTCCCAGATTATATTACTAAATTTCACACTTCTCCAGCACATAACGTATGTATTTGTATATACCTCTGAGCTGGACACAGTCCTGCCGAAGGTTGAACATTACATTTAGTGGTAAAAGTTGGATACGGTTTGCTCACAGCCCGACTAACGTACATTATACAACAGCTGTCCCACTATATAAAACATTATCCCTAGTCACAAGAAACTCAAATACTGCAAGCATTGGGGATAGTGGTTTTTCGGTTGGGGCAGTTGTATATACTATGTAGTCTATACTATTTAAAATATATAGTCTAAGAATAAATGAGACTTAAGTCTCATGTATTCTTAGTTGTGGTTGTCGAGTTGACTTGGAATTGCGCTATTGCTGGCTGATGTCGATTGCCTTAATTTCTAATTGATTTCATTGTATGTGACCACAGTTCTATGCTCGCTTTTCTTCTCCTTAATAACTTCGAGTAAGAACGCTATTGTGCACGTCCCCTCAGCACCAAAAGTACTTTCCGAGAGGACATAGACATGGGGTTGTAGACTCGTATGTCATATCCAAGTCTACCTGACAATTCAGGATATCAGCGGCACCCAGTATCTCATTCCATGTCTTGAAATCACCAGGGTATAACAGTGTTTGATAGTCTGGAGTATTAGAAAGACCAATAATAAAAAAATCAGAGGAGAACTGGTTCAAGCATTGAGCCTGACGACGCCCTACTTGTCACTGAAAACCAATCTGACAGTAGAAATTCTGATGGCTTGTAACCTCCTGGTTGGGATCCGCGAGATGATAACAACCGATGGTTAAAGACTTTAAATGACATGGCTCAAAATCGTTTGCAATGGAGAAGGTGCATCCACTCTTTCTTGTTCTCCCAAATTCTAATCTTCTGAATTCTTCATGTCCCAATTTTTTTTCTTCAAAATTTCACTAGATTTTACTCCTTGAATAACATCTTGAAACCCTAATCTTTCCGATTACTGCTTATACTCATACTACCTCTACCACTATGGGATATGAATCGATAGCTGCATCTGTGTGCTAATGTGGTACGGCAACTCGAGCTGATGTACATACGTACGAAGTTCTACGTTGTGACTGATTGATTGACCTGTTTAGGTAGTCTAAGGACCTCATTATGTACCCGATTTTACTCACAGAATTTACTTTCTGACAGAGGATGCGGTTCCGCACCGTTTTGAATGATGAGTGAAACATAAGAGGAACCAAATAGTCGTATTTTAGTTAGAGTCCATCTATTTCAGGCCGTCCACATGTTTTTGCTGCATGATATATTTGAGAGGAAACATTGTGAATCAGGAAGAATATAAATATCTGGAGGATAAATTCAGAGGGATTCATTTACCATTGCCACTGTTTAGTTGACTTTTTGTGAAGGTTGAACATTTACGTTAGCCTTGGTAGTACTGCAGGTGTTTTTCTTGTATCCTTTTTATTACGAACGTTTTCATCATTTCAGGTTATTGATGGACCCAAATAAAACTTAAACCTCTTCGTTCCTAAGAGCTCTTTCCTACAATCCGACGCAGATACCAATCAATATTCTGCTGTTTTTAGCCATCGATATTAAAAGTCTGATCTTTGACTTATAACCAGGGAAATTTCTATTGAAGCAGTACTAGTAGAATTTGTGTTGCTTATGGCTGTCCAGTTCACTATTTTGTCTCCAAATTTGGGCTCAGGGTGACTTAGTACAAATATGGTTGATGTACTGAATAAATTAACCTTTGAAGTAAGTTCTGCAAAACTTTGGATGGTATAGTGTTAAAATCATAAAAATGAATTTCATACTAGTACTGTTTTTCTCTTGCAGGAGAGGAACGAAGAAAGTTTTGAGGATTATACAGCTGTGACTGATTGGGAAGTGTGAGTTACAACTGCTCAAATTTACTATCTGTAAATTAGTTTCTTCATTTTACCTATCAATGTAAAGGTGACGGGAGCTCCCAAAATACCTTATTTCAGATGTTTAAAGCACCCCTTGAGTAGCATAAAATTACATTGCAATCCTTACTAGCTTCGGATACAAAATGGCAGTCAGAAAGTGACAGTTTGTTAGGTTGTGACTCAGTCACCCAAGTAGTTCAGGGGATTCATGAAAAGCGTGTCACTCAATTTTAGTACTTATTATTAGTGTGATTGTGTTACTGTCAATGAGACTGAAGCATGTAAATGAAGCCTGTGAACTGTCTAAAAAGAGTACCTCAAACAGTCAGGCTAGTACTTAAGTGTCCCAAGTAGTCGCTCTATTAGGTCAACAAACCATTATTCATACACAGTGCTGTTAAAGGTATGAGGACAGTTATCAATTCCCGGTTGCCCACACCGTGGAAGGGTTCTTCTAGAGGTACCTGAAAAGGAAATTGGGTTAGGAGTGGTCTTAATGACCTGAGAGTGTAGCCGCAGTGCCTAAGGGACAACTGCTTGAGGTCGGTCACACACAGCTTTTTTGTGGGTAATTTTTGTTTTAGCTCCGTACTTGTTGGCTCGCTAATGCCCTGGTACGGCCGAGAGTGGGGAGAGTCACCTCTCCCTCTCGAAATGCTCACATGGCCAGCGAATATATAGCCAGTGAAATCCTACTCACTACCTTTTCGTGGCGGGGGTGTTGTTTACGAAATTGAGAGGACGAAAAGCGAATGTCCGGTGCTTTAACCGGGTTGGTGGACAAGGCGAGTCCACCTAGGGGAGTTAGACAACCCTGATTCCAAACCAATGGTGTACATGGGCTCCAGTATCCTGAAGGAACAAATGGCGTACGAATCAATCATTGATCACCGGCTACCATGGGATTGCACCTCCTCACGATGCTCCACTGCCTTGTGGACTAGACCTTCAGGTCAAAGGCTCGGCGTGTAACCCCCTAAGAAAACCACCTGCTTCAGTCTGGGCAACTGGGCAGTATCACAGCCCTCACACAAATCGAATGAGATTTGTGAGGCGCATATCTATTTGGTGTACTCTTTTAACAATATTTATGTGTTTAAATAAATAAATAAATAAAATCCGTACTTGTTGGGATCTGACCGCCGGAGACAGATATCTATGGGGTAAGGCGAAGTGTGCATTTTTTGGGTCGACCTTTTCTAACCGCACCCCTCCTTGTGGGAAGGCAGCATCGCTATTGTGCTGGTTGTCTGAAGGAAACGCCTTACTGCTGTCACACCTCTGTGCAGTCAGCAGTACGACTTCGCCTTCAAACCTTGGGTTTGCTGCTTTTAGTATTACCGCTCTTCAACCAATCTGTCTGGCATGGTAGGACCTTGAAGAACGATTGTTCCATCCAGTATAGCTCGATTGGTTCATCACGATAGGCAAGCCCGACCACCACGTCAAGGTAGCAGCAACGGTCGGGACCATTATTCACTCCTATTTGTGATCCATTATTTTCACAGTACGTTTGTCAACGACCGATAAGAGTGAATAGTGGTAGGCAACTTGTTTATCTTTATGATCGTCGTTAACCTGGATATTTTGGATGGTCTGGTGATGCTATTTTTTGTCTGGAACCAATTAGGTGACCGGAAGTTCGGATCCGTTATCTATTAATTAAGTACTTTAGTCACCAATAAATTTCCATGATTCTATTGGATGAATAACTTACACATTTCATTGTTATTACCTTGTCCATTTCTCACATTTCAGTTTTACACAAGAACTTGAAAATGTTTTAACCAGTTGGATGATAAAACAGGATACTGAAGTCGTAAGTTTCACTGATCAAGCTTTTTAGATATTTCCACAATTATCTTGTCGTTTACCTTTCTCCTATCATTATTTTCACTATGAATTGTTTTGCATTGATAAATAATGTACTGTTACCTCACATATTCCATGTTATGTCTGTTTGTCTGGGTGAAACTGATGTAGAGGATATAAATAGTATGGGAAAACGTGAGACGTCGGGATGTTATAAACTAGCTACTAAATAACGATTTACTTCACAGTACTTTTCTTTTTATTGAATTATTATGAAAGCCTTATCTGTAACAATGAAAAAGAATGTACTTAAGTAGGCAACAGCATAATTTATACATTTCTGTTCCACATAAAGTTTGGAATTGCTATGTACTAATTAATTCAACATGTAATAAATCTTTTGAAAATTTTCATACACTCAAAAACTAATCATGCGTTTGGGATAATTTTTGTATATCTCCATTTGTGGCAATTATTTTCCTCTTAATGTTTAGGAGTGAGCAATCTAGTGCTTCTGAAAAGCACTTGATTTTCAGTCACTGATTTCGGGGTTACAAATCGCACTTCTTTATCAGCTGGATAGTTGTAGCTTAACTTTTACTATCTTGACAGATGGTTGGACTTGGTTACCGCGATGACCTCGTATGACTATTTTGACTGAAAAACATGTTCCTTTGAGTTTTACCCTGTCAGGTATGTCAATTGGAGGGCATTAAAACTAAAATGTCCGATGGCGGGGTTGTGCTTCTGACTGCACTGTGTGACGACAGTAGGATGTTCCCACAGAAAAATCAATATTTACTGCCTGTAACAAAATGGAGGAGGTCCAAATAGGTCAGCCCTAAAAATAACACCGTCGCAGTTGTAGTTTTCAGAATACAGGGCTGCGACATCAAGGACTACTCACCAAAAGGCCATATGTAACAGGCTCTGGGCTGTTCAGTCATGCTTTTAGGTAGTCAAAACTTCTACTAATACATTTCCGTATTTAGGTCTCTTAAGAAGTATCCTCCCACGGTTTGGGAAGTCAAGTAGTGACGACTGCCTACACAACTAACAGCACTCAAGGCTATCTTGTTCACGATTTATTGATCAAATACTCACTTTTAGTCTGGTTTCAGAACATACTGACGCCCGGCTGTAGCTGTACTCCTTGACCTTGGGTTATCACTTGACTCTGTTGACTAGGAGGTTCTGTGATAATATTTGTCATTGAAAGCTGCAGTAAAGAAGTACATAAACCTCTTAAAGGTTCTGCTCAGATACTTGGTCGAATCAGAGCTTATAATGAATTGTCAGCCTCAAGTAATGTTCTTCATGGTTGGCCAGTGTTCCCATTTTTGCTTGATTTTGTCATAGATTTCCTCTTAGAAATAACGATTTACTTAAATAAATCAAAACTTGGTAATGATACCTACAGATTCACTTAAATGTTCAGGATTTAATCTCCTACTAGGAGGATAACTTATCGAATCTGTAGATTACGTTATTTATTTATTTATTTTATTTATTTGAACACACAAACATTGATACAAGGAAGCACCAAATACATATGAGCCAGTAGCAGTTATTATTGATCCGTGTAAGGGTTGTGATACTACCCGGGCACCAAAACCGAAGCAGATTACCTAGTCCTATTTGATAAAGATGCTGACAAAATGCATTGTTTTTATCATCCTAAGCAACAATGTAAGCATGTTTGGAATGTTTTTTTCCTCTAAATACAAAATGTCACTTCATTAATGGTCTATGTCATCGCCTGTTTATGGTAGTGAGTGAAGTAGTTATGTGTATTGACCGCCTGATTTGTCTTGCAAGTCTCATCAGTCCCCATGGGTTGGTGTTTGACAAAATTTTGCTACGAACTGACAAAGCTCAGTCGATGTTTGTCATCTTGCATCACTTGTGACACAGGTGATATATCCGTCTTCCAATCGAAGGGCGTGTATTTTGGGCAGCAGTCCTCTTGTATGACTTTATGGATATAAAATATGGTCTTTAAAACCCTGATTCCAAACCAATGGTGCACATGGGCTCCAGTATCCTGAGGGAACAAATAGCGTATGAATCAATCGTTGGTCAACGGCTACCATGGGACTGCATCTCCTCACGATGCTCAACTGCCTTGTGGATCAGATTTTTTGGTCAAAGGCTCCAGGTGTGGCCCCTTAAGAAAACCACCTGTCTCGGTTTGGGCATGTAGGCAGTATTTTAGCCCACACATAGATCAAGTGACTTGTGTGGTGCATATGTATTCGGTGCCCCTTTGTACCAATATTTATGTGTTTAGATAAATATAAATATATAAAAATAAACACCACTGAGGAGTCCAATAATAGGACGAAACGGCCGTCTAATGCTTCCAGGTTTTCCATGGTGGTCTAGCTTCAATTGACTCATGATTTCAACTATGAAAATATAAATAAATTTAAATAGTTGTTATTATACTTATTTCTAATGTGATTAACCATTTATTTTTAGTCTTCAGTTTGTGGACGTCTTCAATTTTGTGGAAATTTAAAATTTGGCGAGAGGATCTTCAATTTAAATTACTATAAATCTTGCATTGAATCTGAAAAAACTAAGAATTCAACCCATACAATTACATCTGAAAGTGGTAGGTGTATAGTGTCTTCATTCAGATTATTCTAGTTCCGAGAAGCTATGTTCATGCTATTACTCCCATGCCTGATTTCAGTGGACGATTTATTATTCCATTATTCTGGTAAGTTTTGTGTTTAATTCTCTGCAGGTTGAGGGTGTGTGGGGATAAGGGAGTTTTAACCTGGGAACAAGGTGCCTATCTTGTTCTCTTTAATTTTCAATGATTTGTTTTAGTTGATGTCAACTGATCATAACTGTTAATTTGCTTTTATATGACATTTGGGTGGCTTTTGAGCAACGCCAAATTTACCGTGAGGAAATGCACCTGCTTACTAGGGTCGAAAAAGTGTTATAAATTAGTGTGGAAAATCAGAAGTGCAATTTAAAGTTGAAGGTTAGGGTTAGATATTACAATTAGTGTTTTCATCACAAACTGACAGCTGTAATGCCATAATGCTATTTAACTATATGGATGAATGGATTTTACGCCAAAATCCAAGACTCACTATATTAAATCTAATTGTTTCGTCCATAAATTACAGTCTTATCGAGATTTATTAATTACTATAATTATCCTAAAATGTGTTAAAGTCCTTTGAATACGACATTTCATAGGAAGATATGAAATCATACTTGCTCATACAGGTAACTTTCAAGGTGTGATTGTGAGATAATAACTTATACTAACTACCACGAGGAAAGGTACGTAGAGAATAGACTAAATTAAAGAAGTCAAAGTGGACATGTCATACAAGATCGATTTTTAAGAAATCTATGTTGCGTATCATTGATAAATTATTCAGTCAGTAAATAGTTGGAGAGTTCATCACTAATAATTCTTATCATAATCCTCGAGATAACTGGAGTAATATTTATGGAGCGATAACTGTTCATGTCAGTCTTATCTCCAAATTTGTAATGTGGTATGATGTACGTTGTTTTCCAACAGTAAGGGTAAGAACCTGATTCCATAGAGAGAGTAAACAGCTTTAAAAGAAGTGGAATATCTGGACCACTATACTTATAGAGAAATGATTAAATCTCGTCTGCTCCGTAACTTCTTAAAACCGTAAGGGTATTTGTAACCTTACTAATTTTCAAGCATGTGAAGGAGATAGATTTTGTTGAGTTATTAGTCACGCATTTAACTCTTGAAACAGCGCCATTTATGAATTCTTTGTCAATTGCCAAATTACCACTGAAAAGGTCTGCTATAGTTTTAGAGTCGTATGTAAAACTGTTTTTATGCAGGATGCATGGTATATCAACATTTTGCGTTAATTTAGCGCGTTTATTAAAAAGGAGAATTAAGTTTTGTACTTTTTAGCTAGTAATAAGTGCTAATACCTCCTTATTAATGGCTTTTAACCTATGTTTCTCTTTCATTTGGCTAAAAATTATAGTTGTTTATGCAACTGCTGTAAAGTCGTTTGACTTAAAATAACGTTTCTGTAGGCGTCTTAGTTTATGACGATATTTAGCTGGTATATATAATTCGTATGGTTTACTAAACCTGTACGTTATAATTGGTGAACAGGAATCTAGACAAGAGTTAACGGTCAAATAGAATTTGATGGCATCCATGAGACTACTATATGAGAAAAATCCATCCCAGTCTGAGAGTTTGTTCAGTGAGCGCAGGAGGTCCCATCATACAGCTTTTTGCATTCGTAAATTGTTCTTGCTTTAGTCAATTACTATCGTATAACACGTCTCTTCTTCTTCTTCTTCTTCTTCTTCTTCGTTGTTTCTTATCTTTTCATGTTCGATAATATTTAGGTTTGGTTTATCTCATGCATTCATTTTAAAACCTGATGATGGCGAGATTAAAGGTGGGACACGACTTAGTTTATTACTTAGTTCAGTTGAAATGGCTGTTTATGCAACACGATGGTGAGTTTAATGAGTGTAAAATGTATTTATTGTTAACATCTTTTCTATTGTGAAATAACTTCAGAATCAACACATATATTTGTCTGATTCCATTTAGCTCAATAAAATAACCACTTATTCAAGTATCTGATCAGACCCCTTTCTTTAGTAGAATATTTTTTCAAAGAATTGATTTTAGGGGGGAGGTTGAACCTATCCTTCCTGTTGCCAACTATACATTCAATATAGAAAATAGTCTATATCCATTTAGCATACATTTCGTCTACGGCAAACTTCTCACAATTCCTACATTTATTAGTATTTACGAGAAAAAGTTAAGTGTAAAGGCTTCTTACATCAACATATATTGTTTCCTATTATGACAAATTACCAGGTACAGACTCGTGTAAATGGTTTTAAGGTACATTTTAATTGTGATGGCTAATTATACTGCCCGGTCACCGAGACCTAAGTAGTTGATGCAGGATTTTCAATGATTTGTTTGCATTATATGTTGATTAATATTGTCATTTTTAGGTTGTTCATATCTGTGAAGAGAGTCCACAAAACGAATGAATTCATAATATTATACTTTAATTGTTTTTGGCTGGAATTATATTCACTATGACAAGGAGTGGTTTATCACATTTTCTTTCCTGTACCTGTACATACAGATCAAACCTGAAGTGTTTAATTATAATAGACTTTATAAAATGAATCGAAATTGGCGCTCATTGTTTGCTAATATTATTTATTTATTTATTTGTATAAACACATAAATATTGGTACAAGGAAGCACCAGATATATATGCGCCGCACAAATGTCATTTGATTTGTGTGAGGGGTGTGATACTGCTCAGGCACCCAAACTGAAGCAGGTGGTCTTCTAAGGGGGCCACACCCGGAACCTTTGACCTAAAGGTCTGATCCACAAGGCAGTGGAGCATCGTGAGGAGATGCAGTCCCATGGTAGTCGTTGACCAACGGTTGATTCATACGCCATTTTTTACCTCAGGATACTGGTGCCCATGTGGAGCATTGGTTGGGAATCAGAGTTTTCTAACTCCCCTAGGTGGATTTTCCGTGTCCACCAACCTGGTTAAAGCGCCGGACATTCGCTTTTCGTCTTCTCAACAAAGACTATCTTTGAAGGAGATTATTTTTTAACGTTTCCCTTTGAATTTGATGTCTTTTACTATTAGTATTATTACTTGCATTAGTATAGTCCTGTACCAGTTTTGGTGGAACATTATGGACCTTCATATTTTGGTTTGGCTGCTTCATCTTGCCTTAAATCAAGTGATTATACGAATTATCTTCATAATAATGTCAACAATGTATCATCGTCATTGTCAACTTCCAATCGTATTGGTTCATTAAATATTGATTTTACTAGTTGCCGTATTGAAGGTGAAATATTAGCGAATTGTACACATCTTAGTGGGTTAAAAGAAATATTCCTTACTAAATTGGTGAGTAAGTTGTGTTTTAAACATTCTGTCAATTTCCAGGTAGTATTTGTTTCTATTACCTGGGCATAGAAAAACTACTAACTGGTATGGATTTGGATTCAGTCAGCCATTCAACTACAACGTAGGACCAGGCATATATATGCATCGGTCCAAGTCGCCATACCTCATTAGCACAACAATATTAACTTAGAGTGATACATTATGCACACCAAGACTGTGAGATAGCGACATTTACAGTTGAGGAGAGCAAGTAATACTAATACTAGTGATAATAATATAAGTATCAATAGCTTTGAAAATAAAAGGAAACAAGAAATGTAGTGCAAATTGATAAAGCAGAAAATCCGTTGACTGAAAAGTATAGAAAAAGATAATGTTAGGGATTTAGAGGATGATGAATGTATCTGCCTCACTGCATCACGTTTGTTGTGCATCCATTACAATTTATTGCAGTTAACTGTATGTTGGGGAAGGTACTTCAGAAGTAAACTTCCTTAAACTCTAGACTTCTGAATAATATGTATAATTGGTGAACATTCTCCAAGTTTTGTATGTCAACATGGAAACGTTTCTAAAATAACTTTCGAAATCCATCTATTTAGCAAGAACACTTTATTATTGCGATTCAAGCAAGGTTTCGTTGAAAGCTAGAATTCAAACAACTCAATTATTTATAAATGTACTTTAAAACGTGTTCGTTTTGTCGAACTGATTTTTTGATGTCTTTTTTATTGTACAGGGTTATCCTTGGAGTGTGAATTATCCTGTTCCAAAGTTAGATATTTCAGCCAGATTCATATATCGTCTACCATCATGGTCTTCATTACGAGGTAAGTTGTAAACGTGTCGTATATTATATTCACTTACTTATGCCTGTTACCCCTCGTGGAAGAGCATATGTCGCCCCACCAGGATTCTCCATCGAACTCTGTCCTGGGCGATCCTTTAGAGTTGTTTCCATTCGCTATTCATTCTTTTGATATCTGCTTCCAATTCCCGACGCAATGTGTTCCTTAGTATCTCTCTTTTCCGCTTATAGCTCTTCTGGGGGTACTGCCGGTCCCAAACCCCGGGTAAAGGGAGAGGATTGGGCATGAGGTCAACAACTCCATACAACCTTATTAAAAAGCGCTAACCATAATAAACAGCTTAAACCGTTACATATACGTATTACTTACTAAATAGTCTGTCTAGTTAAAATCAACTCAGTGCCAGTGCTTGTATTTGCTTGGATAATTTATTCGTTTTATTTTCAGTTTTAGAAATTTAGATTGATGGTCTCCCCTTGGTAGTAAATTGAAACCAGTGTACGTACCTTAAGCAGGAACTTTACATCCTGCCGCTTGATTTTTCAACGGTCAGCAATTTCATAGTTGTTACTACGTCTTTATGTAGTCACTCTTAGCCTTCTTCCAGCTTACTCATGTGCTGACCAATATTACATATCGGGCGAAACCAATGAATAACGGTCTAGTCCCTAGTATAGAACTACACGGCAGTACAAACCCACTGTTCCTCGTATGGTCGAACTAAACTATTTTCTTGGGGAGCCGATATCTATAAGCCACGACGGAGTTGGATGAAGAGTGCTGGTGGGCAGCCTATGCTCCTCCATTAGGGGTAACGGGCATAAGTAAAGACGTAAGAAGTGAATCCGTAATTTGGCTCCATCTTTGTAATTTTATGTTATGTTGTTATGTTGTTGTCTGTCATCGTCATAACTAAAACATGCGTTCTCGGTTTTGTTTCTTTATTGTTAAAAATACAGTGGACTATCAGAATACTAACTCATTAATATTCTCATTTGACTTATTACAAAGGACTTCAATGAATCTGTGAGTTTGTAGTTAATTTTGTTCACTTTATCTTTCTGTTTGTTTATTTGAATGCTGAAATGGATTCTCACGAGTCAAGTTTCGATTTCAGATAATTAATTTATTTCCTCCCAATCCCTTCACTTATTAAGTATATTTTAATGTTGGTTGTGTTTTACTCTCTAAGCTGGATGATTTCATTTTGTAGCTTTCACTGTCATTTTAGTCGGCATCATCAGTCTTGTACTTAAAATAATAGTGATCATTTTCAAATTAGTTAACGAGTACCGAAATAATATGTACTCTCCACCTACCTACATAGTTCATTTTAACAGTCAGTGTTTTCACCAACTGATACTGTATCTTGGTTCGACTCCCCTTAGCTTTCTTCCAGTTTAATCCTACACCAGCCATCATCGCACATAGTCGGTGGATGTTCATGTGTAAGGTATGTCCCAACCATCTCAGTCGATAAAAATTCTCCACTACGTCAGTCTATTTGGCATCTTCGCCTTGTATTCTGTGTCTAACCTCGAAATCTCTAAATTGAAGATCCTAAGATACATGAGCAATGGATTGAAGATACTTATGATCAATTACTAGTGACCAACAAATATCTTCTATTTTTAGAGACCATGTTTCACACGCATATGGTAGAACTAAGTGAACTAATGTTCATTTTACGAGTCATTTTGTTAGCAGACAGATATCTCACCTGCACTATACGGGATTGAGAGAAAGGGGTTTAACGTCCGACAAAATGTCAGCATCTTAGGCATTTACAGGACGTCCAAAAAATGACTAATATTCATAGGACCTTATTTTAGATAAGTACAAGAAGTAGCGTTTAAATACATTGATTAGGTTATTCTGTTTAATAGTCTTAATAAACTCTTTAAAGTGGTTTCCGGCGAAATGACAACACGTCTACAGAAAGCTTTATTAACTCCTATCATCTTTTTCGATTTCATCTAAACGGAGCTTGAGAAGACTACTGGGCAGTGGACTTTATAAGATATGGAAGTTCAATACTAATAAAAGGTTACTGTTTTTCTATACATGTAACATTTTACCATTATCGTTTTCTCTCTCGTTAAATAGATCGTTTAATTTAGCTACTACTTGGCCGTTAGTACCTAGCCATGCAATCACTGAGAAACCGTCATGGAAGTAAGTTGTATTTTGTATATATATCAATGATCGGTCTAATCAGTAAACAACAACTACATTGTCGAGTTTTTATGAAAAATAAACATTGAAATAATGGGAAGCAGTGACCAGTGGAGTTAAACCATGTCTGTTTTAGAGATATCAACTCACTCAAGACAATTGGTGAACGGTTGCTCAAACATCGTGGATTGGTTGAAGTTAGACATTAACACCGTTAGATAAGGGCTCAGTGGTCTAACGTCCAAGTGCTCCGGCGCGAGACTGGTAGGTCCTGGGTTCAAATCTCGCGAGTGCGGGATCGTGGATGCGCAATGCTGAGGCGTCCCACAATAGGACGAGACAGTCGTCCAGTGCTTCCAGGTTTTCGATGGTGGTCTAGCTTCAATTGACTTATGATTTCAACTATGAAAATATTGAAATAAAAGTTATTATAATTTTTTTTAATTACTTGGTTTTAATTCGTGTTGTTTCGATGTCTGTTTTTCCAAGTCTTTGACCTACCTAATTCGTCTTTCATTTGTTTTTACTTTTACTTTGTAGATCATTAAAACCGGAAGGTGCACCAATTTGTCAATTACAATTATGTGCAAGTAATCCATTCGCTGATAAAATGAGTATGCTTTCATTTCGTATTTGTTTAAAAGAAAATGTTTAATTTGAGTTATTAACTTACTAGATGACATAAGTAAAATCTGATTTAATATTTTGAAGCAATTGAATGGTAACTATTGAGTAACAAACTCGAATCCTAGCTTCTACTATCATTGACTTCAGATGGTTGGCTTGTTGTAGTGAGATAGTGGGTTTGTATTAACAGCAATGGGTTCCAAGATACTTTTACGGACATGTTCATTCTTAAAATGGCCTCTTCCGTTGACTATGACTGGCCAATTGTTATGCTGGAAAAATAATGAAATATATCGATACTAAAGTTGATATAATCCTACTTTGGATACTAAATATTAGATAATCAGTTTAGTAAGGCTAAATACTAGTTCATTAGAGTATGTGATAGATCAATAGACTCAACAAATTACGGTACTTGATCATATGATATACTCGCCCCATTTTTTCAACCAACGATGAGAAACCACATATAGGCTAGAACAAGAGCTTATTAACACAACACGGCCCTCGAATACTCTGGTACGGCTAAGGGTGGGGAGAGTCCGCTCTCCCTCTCCAAATACTCTCACATGGAGACGCGTGTATAGCCTCTGCCAGGGAAGTCCTACTCACTGCCTTTTCGTGGCATCACTACGAAATTTAGAGGACGAAAAGCGAATGTCCGGCGCTTTAACCGGGTTGGTGGACACGGAAAGTTCACCTAAAATAGTTAGAAAACCCTGATTCCAAACTAATGGTGTACATGGGCTCCAGTATCCTGAGAGAACAAATGGCGTATGAATCAATCGTTGGTCACCGGCTATCATGGGACTGCATCTCCTCACGATGCTCCATTGCCTTATGGATTAGACCTTTAGGTCGATGGCTCGGGGTGTGGCCCCCTAAGAAAACCACCTGCTTCAGTCTGGGCACCTGGGCAGTATCACAGCCCTCACACAAATCGAGTGAGATTTGTGAGGCGCATATCTATTTGGTGTACTCTTTTAACAATATTTATGTGTTTAAATAAATAATTAACACAATATAAAACAAACAAGAAATGGAGTATAATTGGAACGAAACTGGAATCAACTTTCCATATAAGATTTCCTCTTGTATTTAATGTAGCCGAATAGTTCTGTCCTCAGCTACTGACTAATCACAGCTTCCTTTCACTTTATGTGTTATTGATCAAGTGATACCAATATATGAGTGAAGTTGATAGAAGACTATGTGTTTGAGGTGACGTATCGCTCGTTATCGCACTCTCTGTTCGTGTTATTCTTTCACAATTTAACCTTCGATGCCTTTTAAGTTTTACCAGAAACAACTTTAGGTGCTTTTGTTCAGTGGATGAACTGAGTAGCTTTGTGTTTACATTACTCATCTTCTAACTAATAGGTTGTGCGTCTGAACCTCATCTATATCAAAGAAGCTTGGTCGTAGTACATACTATCAGGACTCTTATAAAACAGTGTGATACAGAATCGAGTAGCATGCAATGGTGGTAATAAACTAAAAGAAAACGCGTTTAAAGGGTATAAATCAAACCAAACAATATCAAATATGAGATAATATTAGTACTTAAAATCTAATGGAAAGTAAGAAAAAATAGTGCATCCGTGGCAATGTAAATCGGTTACGAACTGTGTTAACCAAATTCATAAATACCCAACCATGAAGATTTATACTTCTGGACTGAGTTCTCACTTACAGTCAATAATTTTATCTGATCACTACTAGCTTCAACATTATAAACTCAAATATAAACTTCTATTATGGTACATAGTAGGAAGACATTTAGTCATGTTTTGATTTATTATATTCGATATTTGTTCGTATCGGATTAGTTAATGACTACTATCAAACTGACGATTTGTTAATAGGTGGATTATTGTTACACTTTATTGTTTCAGGTGTACGAATTCAGCGGTTCTTTAAAAGTTGTTCTAAATATGAACAACCTGTTCATCAAATGACTGATATCTCATCAAATAATCCTAGTAAGCACAATGTTTTGTATTACAATAATTTTTCTTCTAATATTATATTCATATTGTTTTTAAACTATAAAATACTTAAATATGTACACAGAACTACTGATATAAACTTTTCAAATGGTTTACTTATAACCTTAATGAAATTGTACGACAGTTAGGCTGATCTTGAAATATATACACTTTGACTGGACGGTATGAAAGAAAGCTGAAAGCTGCAAAGGGCTAGCTTCTATTGGTCCTTCACGACTCCCTGGCTGGGGTCCAAGAGATGATGCAACAGTGGCTAGAGATGTTATCAGATATGGCTCAGAATAGAAGCCAGTGGCGAGCCTTCTGTAACCTTCTAACTTTCTTAACTGAAAGAGTCTTCCGGTTGTATATTTCAGTCCCCCTTTTTTTCATCCTTTCTCTTCCTATTTTCATTATTTTGTGTGGCGCATATGTATCCGGTGCCCTTTTGTATCAATATGTATGTGTTTAAATAAATAAGTAAATAAATAAATGACTGGACGGTTTGATTTCATAACTTTCATTGTCTAATATTCTTACATTCAGATTGATCTTTAATTACTAAGTTGTATTGGCTTCATATCCACGCACGATTATCATTGCACAAGAGTCAGTCAGTCAGTCAGTCAGATACAACATAGGACCAGGCACATATATGCATCGGTCCAAGTTGCCATATCTCATCAGCACAACAAGATGAACACCGGATTCATAGAATTAGTTAATTTAGTGGTGGTTATATATGAAGTAATTTTAATCTCAAGGTTTAAGGGAATATAAATAGTGTATACACCTACGACATTGTGATCAATTCTGAGCCACGTCACATAGAGTCTCCAACCATTGGTTACGATAGTCGCACGGACCCCAACCAAGTAGTCTGCATCTGAAAACATGGCTCAGACTAGAAGTTAGTGACTTCAAGCACTGATGCCACGTTTTGGATTGACTGCCCCTAACTTTTTTCCAACCATCCCCAATACTAGTCAGCATGGCACGTCGTGGTAAACAGTGTTCAGGCATACGTAGCACGTGGCCCAACCATCTCAGTCGATAAAGATTCATGACCTCATCAACTGATTTACCATCACCACCATTGCACATAAGGCAAGTACTCAAATCCTTTTATATATAGACGATGATTTAGATTATACGTAATGAATAATGTAAGTTTTTAGTTGTTGAAAGAATTCTTTACAATATATACTTGATATATAGTTAAACAATGTGACCAGCTGATAACTACTGTTCACTAGATCGACTTATTATCATTAAATAAACTGATTAACAGACGACAAGACAACCAACTAGTAGGATGACTGTTTGATAACTTCTGCAAGCAAATTATGTGGAAACAATAAGCTCAAACTTGAACTTGAGGATATGAGATTTCGTCGGCCACTCAGTTACAAATGAAATTTTAAACCTGACAATCAGGCTTAGTTCTTACTCATCAAATCAGTCTCACCCTATTTGAAAAAAAAGTGGTTTAGAATCCTTTGATGATAACACTAAGAGGGTAATAATATTCCATTTGACTGCTCGTCACATATTTCTAATTTTTCTTTGAAAGTCATGGTAGCGTTTTGTATATAGTTTACAACTGGACTATATTTATGTAAAAAGAAAGATATGGCTATTTCATTACTCGATTGTCTTGTCGACGAATTGTTATCTATCGTTACAATTGTTATATATTTGGACGACTATACAGTCAATGATGCAATTAAATCAAACTGCTAACTGTATTCGTATTTTGTCTTCCCCCATAAATAGGTTTTTAACTCTAACGCTAAAGAACTGTAAAGCTAAGAGAAATTAGGAATTTTTTCATTATGACTCCAACTAAAACAGCGATATATGGAATTTAGCTGAATTTTGTTTCGTGTTATATCTTGTGGCCGAGTGGATGCCCAGTTAATGTATGACATGATAAGACCGCCAATCAGAGAACAGTGAATTATCGATTGGAACAGTGACACACGAAAACTGTTCGAGCAGTCTAGAGTGCTTATCGATCCTGCTTCTTTCTAGCCCAACCAGTTAAGTCCAAAACACCAATAAAAGCCTCTGTTGTATGGATCATTGTATTTCAAACATACTGAGATTATATACCAACCAAACAGACCACATTGTACCAATAAAATAGGAAATAACATTTGCACAAGATTCAGCCAAATGTGGCTGTGAATAGGGGGAACAGTAATTAATAGACTAGGGATAACTCAAGAATAGTAAATTGTATAATAATAGTCTATGAGTGAAAATAAAGCTTATGATAAGAGGAATACGAATATGAACAGTTTAGTTACTTAACAATTATACAATAGGAAATATGCATATCATATTGGTCCATAATTAGTCCTGAAAAAGTTACCATTCACAATTCTCTTCGGGATACAACATTTTGTTATAGCGTAATCCCTCCTTGTGCACCAGTGATCGATAAGTTAATGTGTCAATATGAACTCAAAGAGTTCCGTCTAGCTTATCACTAGACGCCCATAAAATTCATATCGAAGCTAATTCCAAACATGTATTAGTTGAATACATATTTTTTATATGGATTTCTGTCGTTTTTGTCATGAATTTTCAATGTATCAAATCAATAGTCCCGTATGTTTTATGTTGTTACCATTCTATTAAATATTTTTGTTTAGGTTCCGTCCTATCAAGTGATTCAGTCGTTCAGTTTCTACTAGTAAGTAGTAGTAGTAGTAGAATATCCGTGTATTTTTTTTGTTATTTAAAACATAATTGTTTAAATTAGTTCCTCAAACTTAACAATCTGGATAGGTAGATAAAGAGATGAAGCCTTCAGTTACAGTATGCTTAACTATTAAAATAAATTTGTTGTTCTTAGGTAATATCATCGATCATAAGTTTGTTTTGGTAATGATTGCACACTCATCAACTACAATTCTTTGTATATGTCCATGAGGATGTTAGACGACTTTCTGTGTTTGATCATCGTTGTCTCTGAAGGATTTTGTGGAGTCTTGTTGAATTTTTTTTATAAGCCAATAAATAAAAATAATTAACAATGACTTATTATCAGCAAACAGTTATAGATTAGCATTCGTGTGACTTTGTATACAATCACTAGGTGCCAAAGGTTTTAGATTATATTTTACTTACTAAATTTTATGTAGTTAAGATCATGAGTCAGTTGAAGCTAGACCACCATGGAAAACCTGGAAGCAATGGACGGCCGTTTCGTCCTATTATGGGACTCCTGAGCGGTGTGCATCGACGATCTCGCCTCGCGAGATTCGAACCCAGGACCTATCAGTCTCGCGCTGGAGTACTTAACCGACAGACCACTGAACCGGCATCCAGCGGTGTTGATGTCTAACCTCAACCAATCCACGAAATTGCGCGAACAACTTCCATTGTACTGAGGTAGATATCTGTCTCTATCTGACATGGATTAGATCCACTGGCCACAACTTCTCACTAGAACTCCAGGAATTACCTCATGGAGCCAGCCAGTGAGTGTATATCTCAGAATATTTATCTCTTCCAAACTTCTAATTTAAGAAGTCTGTGCGTAGTTATTGCGCTACTATTACTTCATGTCACTTTTCTAGTCATTAACTTTAGCCTTGCTGTATTCAGTGTGTTACTATGAGATGTACAAATTCATGGTTCTTTCAGCTTATACTTAGAAACTAATCACTTTTCCGACTATCCAAATGTATTTCTAAACGTTTACTGTATTTTTTAAAACACTTGTTTTTACTCACTTTTATGGGAGATGTACAACCTATAGCAATAATTAATACTGCAACATTCTATGATATGGATTATAACAGTGAAAATTCATCGCATATCTGTCATTAATGTATATATTTCAAACTGCGAGTCTCTCATCATTAAGCATAGTTAGGTGGATAGGTAAAACACCGGGCTCCATATATAGTGTCAATTACTCTCTACCAAAAAGAAATTGGACGCAGCCAATTAGCTATACAAATTTCACTGTTTATCAAGAAGGATCTTGAAACAGAACTAAAATAATAAATGTACTCAAGCAAACTACATCATGCGTACTTAGCATAATTTTTCAAGACAAAAACTATGCTGTGAGATAGCTTTAATACTCAAGATCACTCCGCTGATGTTTGCGATTGAACTAATGTGGATCAATATGGTTTTATTGTAAAAGTTAAAGTCATTGGTAAGATCTTTTTATTCCTTACTACCTGCTTGTATGATCTTTTAACTTCACCGATGACCCATTTTATTAATATTTAAGACTTAGTCGGTGTGAAATTCATCATTTTTAGTATCTAACATTAATCAGTTCATCAAGCAGTGGTTATAATGCATAGCCTAGTATTCTGTCTAACGTTGCACAAGTATATATGGATTCGTAACTGTGGAGCCTGGAGAAGAATTTATCAAAAATCATTGTTTTTGAATAGTCCTGGAGAATTTTCGAATTCATGAAACTTAGTTAGTTACTTACTTACGCCTTTTACTCCAAATGGAGCATAGGCCGCCGACCAGCTTTCTCCAACCCACTCTGTCCTGGGCCTTCTTTTCCAGTTCTATCCAGTTCTTGTTCATTCTTCTCATGTCTGTCTCTATTTCTCGGCGTAATGTGTTCTTTGGTCTTCCTCTTCTTCTTTGACCTTCAAGATTCCATGTGAGGGCTTGTCTTGTGATGCAGTTGGGTAATTTCCTCAGAGTATGCCTAATCCACTTCCAGCTTTTCTTCCTGATTTATTCCTCCACTGGGATCTGGTTTGTTGTCTCCCACAGTAGGTTGTTGCTGATAGTGTCTGGCCATCTGATCCGAAGTATATTGCGTAGACAGCTGTTGATGAACACTTGTATCTTCTGGATAATGGCTTTCGTAGTTCTCCACGTCTCCACCTCATACAGTAGAATTGTCTTGATATTTGTATTGAAAATTCTAACATTGGTGTTGATTGACATGAAACTTAATGGATACCCTAATAATCTGAAAGTATTTAAAGGAGCACTTGAATTATAGTGTAAAACTGAATAAAAATGTAAACTCTTCAGATCTGGAGAATGTACTTAAGTTGGAAACTGTTATGAACTCCATCACTGGTAAGATAAGTAAGCGAATGATATCCAAGAAATCATGTGTTTATATACAGTATCCCTGATAAGGTGTCACTTCGACACTTGATATTAGTAGCTAGCCATTTGAAAAGCTCATGCCGGTGTATCAGTTTTAATAAAAAAGAACACACCTAGAGTACCCATATTTTATCTTATTAAGATTTAATTCTCATTGCGCTTCTGAATAACTTAATCAAATTTACATGAATTGATAATCAAAGACTTACAAGAAAGGGCATGCTATATGACAAATCGAGAAGAGTGACGAAATATTGGGCTGTCATTAATTAATATGAGGTTTACTAGTAATTCATTCATTCTTTTAGTTTAAATCATGGACTCAATCATTAACAACCAGGTCTGTTAACGGATGGCTAACCTGTAGGTAGGTTTTGAGTTCGAACCGCAGCTAGTTCATGGATATACATTGTTGTAGATTCTTATACCAGGATAAATCAACTGTCCAATGCTTTATTGTTTACAGTTATTGTTAAATTAAACTTAATTTATGATGCCAACTGCCAAGTCCAACAATTTCTACTAACTCTCCTATGCTACTTATTCCTCTGAATTCATTTACCTTGTTTTTAGGTATAAAATCATTTTCGTATTACATTTAGCCTAGTATTTTTTCACTCAATAATATCATGAATTTTCTTTTGTCTTATTGTGCTTTGCTTGAAGTTTCTTTTTCCCGATGCTGACGCTGAAGGTGTTTGTAATAAAGTTCTTCATAATGAATTAACATTATCTTTTGGTGATCTATCAATACATGAATTATTAATATGGAAACGTCAACCGATTATGAATTCTTCAGAAGTAAGTTAGTATTATGTAATTCAGTTTATTAACATAAATAATGAAAATAAGATCCTTCAATTTTCTAAGAGGAAAAATTAATACGATAGATATGACCAATAGAATTTTTTTATTAAGCGCTTCTGTCAAAACAAATGTCAACTAATATCAAAGTGAGAATTTTCAATACAAACGTCAAGACCAGTCAATTCTACTCTATGGAGCTGAAACGTGGAGAACTACTACATCCATCATCAAGAAGATATAAGTATTTATAAACAGTTGTTTATGCAAGATACTCAACATTCACTGACCGGATACTATCAGCAACAGCATTTTATGGGAGAGGACAAATCAGCTTCCAGCTGAAGAGGAAATTAGGAAAAGACGTTGGAAGTGGATCGGACATACATTAAGGAAATCACCAATGTGCATTACAAGGCAATCCCTAACTTGGAATCCGGAAGAGAAGCGGAAGAGAGGAAGGCCAAAGAACACATTACGCTGGGAAATAGAAGCATATATGAAAAGGATGAATGTTAACTGGAAAGAAGTACAAAGGATTTCCCAGGACAGGATTGAATGGAGAATGCTGGTGAGCGGCCTATGCTCCTCCGCAAGGGGTAACAGGCGTAAGTTAGTAAGTAAGCTTTAGTCAGTCAGTCATATATATGCATCGGTCCAAGTTGCTTTAGTATCATCAATTCAAGGAACAGATAATTGTACACATGGAACTTTATGATTTACTGTACAGAATTATTCTTATTTATCCTGTTAGAATAGTTTTAGCCTTTTATCACAATTTTGGTTGGTGATTGCTGGTCGGCGGCTAATGCTCCATTGGGAGTAACAGGCGTTAGTAAGTAAGTAAGTTTTTGACGACTAATGACAGTGTAACAGCATATATATCGTAATGATAACAATTTTAATTTAAGTGTGTTGATGAACGAATCATCAACAATTACAATCTTTGATATGTTTAGATAAGCGATTTGTTATGTCCCGATAACAATAGTGAATGGTAACTTGGGACCAATGTTATGTATATAGTTTTTATCGTATATTTGCTAAATAACTAACCTATTCATATTCGTGTCCCCCTTATTATAAGCTTCATTTTGACTCATAGACTATTATTATACGGTTTACCATTCTTGAGTTATCCCTAGTCTATCCATTTCTGTCTCCCACATTCACAGCCACATTCGGCTAAATTTTGTGCAAATGTTATTTCCTATTTTATTGGTACAATGTGGTCTGTTTGGTTGGTATATAAACTCAATATGTTTGAAATACAATGATTCATACTACAGAGGCTGTTATTGGAGTTCTGGACTTAACTAGCTAGGCTAGAAAGAAGCAGGATCGATAAGCACTCTAGACTGCTCGTACAGTTTTCGTGTGTCACTGTTCCAATTGATAATTCGCTGCTCTCTGATTGGTGGTCTTATCATGTCATACATTAACTAGGCATCCATTCGGCCACAAGTCATAACACGATTATATGGAAGTATAATCTGTAATTACTTCGATTCTTAAACATGAATAACTTAAGTTTGTCAAAATTTATGGTATAGTATTTTCTTCTGAACAACTTTGAAACAAAACTGAATCAATTATTTATAATGTGACCCACTTGATGAAGACAGGAGATTGTTTACAAAATAAAGTTTTCTTAATTGATCCTCTATCTTTTCATGAATATTTGAACAAATCAACCTTACTAGAAGTCATCTTCCTTCTGCTTGTGAGAAGCCAATTTCTCTACAAATGTAGATTGTTGTTGTAAAGCGTCTTATTTATTGTTATTCCCTAATGTATACTCAGTAGTATTGTAGTGTGTTCTACTTATATCTATATAAGTAGTGTATGGTGATGGTCAGACATAGAATGTATTTTAGCAGAAGATCGATAAAGAACGAACAGGAATGAAGCGCTATCGGTACGAAAATGCATGAACAATAATAATCGGAGAAGGTGAACTGAAATTTGCAGAAGTAACAATCAAGATTGAGACAATTGATTGATAGTTTGCAAATTAACTGTTCATTGTATGGTTATCAGGATTTAGTGAGATAGTCCGTAATTTGTGCTCAAAATACATTCGATTGTCCCCAGTGGTGTTTTGTTCACTACAATATAACTTCATCTTTATACCTGAAATCGATTGCTTTTCATTTCTTCAACTTTTTTGAAAAACTTTTTACCTTAAAACGACTCGACTGAACCGCTGCTCTCATTCATGAATGAATTACGGCTGTTTATTAATTCTTTAACATACATACAAGAAACTTAACTCTGTTGTCAGATATCTTAGGGAGTTTAATCAAATCACACTTTCGTATATTTCATCTAGTGGAGGTTAGATACACAGAATAAAAGTCATTTGGTAAATAGACGCTGTTTAAATAATGAAATCAATCAACTCAAGAATATATAACTCATGACAGTGTACGTGAGCATATGTTCAACCAAGGAATCACAGTAAATTATCTTCTAAGAAAAAACTCAAATGAACAGATCCATTTGATTGTAATTATACTCTAAAATTTTAATATTTACCTTCATTTATTTCTCTCTGAAATTGTAGAAACAAAAATTCGCTTCTATTTTTGGTTTACCAAATCCTATTTCATTAATACATCGTTTAGCTGTAATTATTGCTAATCTACTTGTTTATAAACATTATGAATTCAATGATTGTTTACTATTGATTAATTCAATGTTCAATGAATTATACATTGAATTACAACTTCGTTATGATCGTTTAATTTGTTTACCAGTACAAATTTTATATGAAGAAGTATTCAATAAATTCAATACCAATAACAGTAATGAGATAATCGAAGAAGAAGAAGAAGAAGCATCAGTGGATGAAAATATGCCACCATTACATGCATGGAATCATAGTTCAATTCAGTTAATTAATGGATTAAAATTTAAAGATTGGCCCATTGATTGTTACTATAATTTGGATTGTATTTTGCATCGTTTTAATGGGTGCATTTTGAAGGGTATATTATTTCGGGGGATTATTTGTTTTGTTAGTTTTTTTTTTCGTTTTATATAAATGTTAGTGTGCTTGTTTTGTACAAAAGAAGTTGTGTAAAGACCGACTAAACAATTCGATGAACATTACATACTTACTTACTTACGCCTGTTACCCCTTGCGGAGGAGCATAGGCCGCTCACCAGCATTCTTCATCCAACTCTGTCCTGAGCCTTCCTTTCCAGTTCTTTCCAGTTGCTATTCATCCTTTTCATATCCGCTTCTATTTCCCGGCGTAGTGTGTTCTTTGGCCTTCCTCTCTTCCGCTTCTCTTCCGGATTCCAAGTTAGGGATTGCCTTGTAATGCACATTGGTGATTTCCTTAATGTATGTCCGATCCACTTCCAACGTCTTTTCCTAATTTCCTCTTCAGCTGGAAGCTGATTTGTCCTCTCCCATAAAATGCTGTTGCTGATAGTATCCGGCCAGTGGATGTTGAGTATTTTGCGTAGACATCTGTTTATAAATACCTGTACCTTCCTGATGATGGCCGTAGTAGTTCTCCACGTTTCAGCTCCATACAGTAGGACTGTCTTGACGTTCGTATTAAAGATTCTGACCTTGAAATTGGTTGAGAGTTGTTTTGAGTTCCATATGTTCTTCAATTGTAGAAATGCTGCCCTTGCTTTGCCAATCCTTGCCTTTACATCTGCATCCGATCCTCCTTGTTTATCAACGATGCTCCCCAGGTACTTGAATGTTTCCACCTCTTCCAGAGTTTCATCATCAAGTGTGATTGGGTTGGTGTTCTCCGTGTTGCATTTGAGAATCTTGCTTTTTCCTTTGTGAATGTGAAGGCCTATCGATGCGGAGGCTTCTGCTACATTTGCGGTCTTCATCTGCATTTGGTCGTGTGTATGAGAGAGGAGGGCTAGGTCATCTCCGATGTCCAAATCATCTAATTGATTCTGAGAAGTCCATTGTATTCCGTATTTCCCTTCAGATGTCGAATTCTTCATAATCCAGTCAATCACTAGAAGGAAGAGGAATGGGGAGAGTAGACAGCCTTGTCTGACTCCGATCCTTACTGGAAATGCATCTGTCAGCTGTCCTCCATGCACCACTTTGCACTGTAGTCCATCGTATGAGTTTTGGTTAATCTTGACAATCTTTTCAGGAACTCCATAGTGTCGAAGAAGTTTCCATAATGTTCTCCTGTCCACGCTGTCAAACGCCTTCTCATAGTCAATAAAGTTGACGTATAGTGATGAGTTCCACTCAACTGATTGTTCAACGATGATCCGTAGTGTCGCAATCTGGTCTGTGCACGACCGATCCTTACGGAATCCAGCCTGATGATCCCTAAGTTCAGCGTCTACTGCGTCTTTCATCCGATTCAGCAGCACTCTGTTGAAAACTTTTCCTGGTACTGATAACAAGCTGATACCTCTGTAATTCTCACATTGGCTCAGATCTCCTTTCTTTGGTATCTTGATGAGATATCCTTTTTTCCAGTTCGTTGGCACTGGTTCCTCTTCCCAAATCTTCTTGAATAGAAGGTGAAGCATGTTTGCAGTTATTTCAATGTCTGACTTCAGTGCTTCTGCTGGTATATTGTCAGGTCCTGCTGCCTTCCCATATTTGATTTGTCTGATGGCCATGTTGACTTCTTCGATCGTTGGTGGAGTGACATCTATTGGAATGTCTGTGTGGGCTGCTTCGATGTTCGGTGGATTCAATGGGGCTGGTCTATTCAGCAGTTCCTCGAAGTATTCTGCCCATCTTTTCCTCTGTTCTTGAATCAGTGATTGTCTTTCCTTCTTTGTCTTTGACTAGTCTCTCTGGTTTGCTATATCTCCCTGCCAATTTCTTCGTTGTATCATGTAGTTGTTTCATATTCCCTTCTCTTGCAGCCTTTTCCGCCGCCGTTGCTAGTTCTCCCATATATTTCTGCTTGTCGGCTTTAATGCTTTTCTTCACTTCCCTGTTTGCTTCTGCGTAGTCTGCTTGTGCTTTGACTTTCTCTGCTCGTGTTCGGCTGTTCGATGAACATTTCTCCGAACAAATTTAGATTAATAGCTTCATCAGTCAATTTATAATTTATGTCCTACTTTATGGCAGTGAAACATGGTCGGTAAGAGTAGAGGAAATTCGTAGGCTACTAGTATTCGATCATAGGTGTCTTCGAAGCATTGCTCGTATATCCTGGGACCACCAGGTAAGTAATGCAGTTGTTAGGAAACGAGTACTAGCTAGGGATGGCAAATCGATTGATGAAGTAGTGAAACTTCATTAGTTGAGATGGCTGGAACATGTGTTACGTATGCCCGACCACCGACTGCCCCGACGTGCAATGTTTCATGGTGTAGGAGTAGGTTGGAAGAAAGCTAGGGGTGGCCAGACCAAAATGTGGCAAAAATCAATGAAGTCACTGACAAGTGGACAGGGCCATGTTGGTTGGTGTAGACTACCTGGTTGGGATTCGCGTGATGATAGCAACCGATGGTTAGAGACCTTGAATGACATGGCTCAAAATCGTTTGCAATGGCGAAGGTGCATCCACTCTTTGTGTTCTACCAAATTCTAATCTTCTGAATTCCTCATGTCTTTATCTTTTTCTCTTTCCAAATTTATTTCACTGTACTATACTCCTTCAATAATTTCTTCAAACCCTAATCTTTTGGATTTCTGATTATACTCCTACTACTTCTACCACTATGGGATTTGAATCGACAACTGCATCTCTGTGCTAATGTGGTATGGCAACTCGAACTGATGTACGTACGTACGAAGTTCTACATTGTAACTTGCTGACTATGCATACAATCGGTTATGTTAAAATTATTATTAATTATGTTTGATTCATTGAGGAAAAAGGAACATGATCTTATATTTTTATTTTCAAATCACAGCTAGAGAAAGTCATCAACACCAAACATTAGAAGTCCAAAGTGATGATGATGATGATGACGACGATGGTGATATATATTTTGATGTTTCTGATCAAACTTCTCCATCATCTCATGATGAAGTTAAGTCGGCTCGTGCGAAAACGAATTGGTTAGATGCATGCTGTAAGTGATATTATAAAAATTTAATAAATAATTGTGTGGTTGATGCACTCGATTTGATTTATAAATTTGAATGACACTACAATCTATTTTCGGATATGGGCGCTGATAATTAAGGGATTTCAGTAGAAATCAATAGTTTAGGTCAGTAGTAAATCTTCTTTTTAAACTCTTGGATCGGCTTCCTAAACTTTTCTAGTAACTCCCAGGCTAAATCTACACGGCAACTTGAATACGAGAAAAAGGCGTGAAATTAGGAAAAAACGCTTTACTCCAAAGTTAGTTTATGTACAGAAAATCTAGGTTATTTATAGAATTTCAGATGACCTTGAACTTCTGGAAAGTTCTGTAACTCTTCTAAACACAGTATCAGGTTGCGTAATGTTCCAATCATAAATGTGATACGTGACTTTTCACTTTCTAGATGTTTCTTAGAAACTTCTATTCAATGCTGATGGGATGTTTCTTAAGGTTTTCAGGTCCTCTTTGGTCTTTTTGCAAGGGATTTTTTGAGTCTCTACAACATTTAGTCTATGAAGTAAGCATTTTGTGTTCCAGATTTTTGTAATCTTCCTACTATGTAGTCAGAATGATCTATCCTTGTGTTAAACCAGCCAGTTTAGACTATTCGGTCACTTCATCATTGTTATTTTACGTAGCTCAGATATAATTATAATATTATATCTTCGAAGTTATAGATAAGCCTTTTTTTCCGATATTCCATGCCTCATTATAACATAAGGATCTTAGGAATAGAAATCATATTTTGGCTTGGTATCCTATCGTTTGTCATTGTTAAATCACAGGACACATTACAGTATCACCTTGTTAAAAATTTGGGGTAATGAAGGCGTAGTTGATGAACTCGGGTTTCAATGAATAATTGATAAGTTACACATTCCGCTCTATCTACCTTAGTTTTTGATTAGTCGAATAACCCGTACACAACATAATTCGAGTCTGGTTAACTAAATCTGGGCTTGATTACCGAAGTACATTATGTATTTTTCTCGTACCAGTAAACAATTTAGTTGATTTATGAATTACGGAACGTTGGTAGTCTCACTTAAATTTGACAAATTCATACTTAACAACTTTATGATTCTATCCATGTTACTTCCAGTGTGTATAACTGTAGTGTTTTGTTTATTTATTAAGCACTGACTACTGTTACTACAATCATTACTGATCTCTTTTTTGATTTCTCTATCATTTTATAAATACATAATTACTAGCTAGAAATGATGCATTATCGGAAGCAGAAACTATACTTGATTGGCTTAAGTCAAGGTGTTTACTTGATCATTTACATTCACTTCTGCCGCATATCATACTGGAATGTATGTTTACATTTCATTCTTTAGGTAAGTTGATATGATAATTAGGTTTCCTTGTTTAACCGATGTTCTCAACCTGATTTTATTTTGGTCAGTGTTACTATTCCTATTAACTGCAGACAGACAGTCTAATCGATCATGTGAAACAACGATCCCATTTTTAGCCATTGATAGTCTGAATACTTGATCATAGATGAGAAAATTTAGTAGAATACTGGTTATATTACAAATTTTCAGTTTGTTTCTCATAACATGATAGTGATCATTTTTGGTCAATACCAACTGCGAGTATAGGTTAACTATCACAATGCATTTTTACTGATGTGCATTTTTTCCCAGGGAATTTGTAAATAAAAACGGTGATTTTGTATTCCGCTGTCTGTAATGTATCTCTATCGTTATCTGTCGTTTACGTGTCTTTTGCGAAATTGAGAGGACGAAAAGTGAATGTCCGGCGCTCTAACCGGGTTGGTGGATGTACAGTGTCCACCCAGTTAATTTGGAAATCCCTGATTCCAAACCAATGGTGCACATGGGCTCCGGTATCCTAAGGGAACAAATGGTGTATGAACCAATCGTTGGTCACTGGCTACCATGGGACTGCATCTCCTCACGATGCTCCACTGTTTTGTGGATCAGACTTTTAAGTCGAAGGCTTGGGGTGTTGCCCCCTAAGAAAACGACCTGCTTCAGTTTGGGCGCCTGGGTAGTATCACAGCCCTCATACAAATCGAATGAGATTTGTGTGGCGCATAAGTATTCGGTGCCCCTTTATACCAATATATATTTGTTTCAATAAATAAATTGGGTTACTTTTGACCATCTCATAAGACTACTTCTGATTGACCAATTTTCATTTAAGTTTAGGTCCTACTGGAGAAAATGCTAGAACAAACTGGGATTTAGAATTAAGTCTATTGAGTCAAACTTACTAACTAAACTTCTCTGCAAATACGTTATTCTAGTGATAAATACTGAAAATATATGAATTTTAACTTGTGAGATATCTGGGGAGTAGTTACACTTTTAACCAATAGTCTAACAAGCAGTGTATCCTTGGGTTTATTGAGGGAGTATTAAAATGACAACCCTTACTACTAATCAGTCACAATGTGTGGTTGTATTAAATGGAATAATTATTGATTTATAAAAGTCAATTAAGCTCTATTTCGACGTAGCTTACGTAAGGAAGACTATAGGATAATAGAAAGGAGTTGAAGGAAAGTTAAAACAGAAGACTGAAATATGAAGAGCAGAATACAAATGAATAAGTTTTCCGTTGCGACAAAAACATCAACGTCGTGTCCTCGGGTCTCTTAAGTATTTGTATATAATCATACTACTAAGTAATACTAAGTAGTGTACCGTAACTTACTAAAGTAGGGTAAGGGGGGGGAGAAAAAAATAACTACATTGTAGAACCAGGCACATATATGCATCAGTACAAGTTGCCACACCTCATTAGCACAATAAGATGAATACTAAATACATAAAAGCAATTTATTCAATGATAGTAATATATAAAAGAAAGATTGAATATATGGATATGATACATGGAAAAAGAATTAGATCGTAGAAACAAAAATATAAAACAATTTTAATCTTACAGTTTACGGTAAGACAGAGTGTATACACCTATACTATTGTGACAGATTCTGAGCCGCGTCACCTAGAGTCTCCAAACGCTGTTTACTATGGTGGCGTGGACCCAATCAAGTAGTCTGTAACTATCCAACATGGCTGAGACCAGACGTTAGTGACTTTATGGACTGATGCTGCGTCTTGTTTCGGCCGCCCCTAAGTGAGGAAAAAATAATGTCAAACTTTCTGCAAAACAGAGTCAACAATATCTGCAGGTCACCTTATTTTTAATTCAGTCTTACATACGATGTTAACTTGTTATTACTTAGCCCGTCACCTGTCTTTAATTTGTTAATCCTTCATAGTTAAGGAAATGAATGATTCCTATATTTCAGTGCTCTTGGGCACATGTGCACCAAGGAGAATTCCTCACCCTACTACCGTGGTCCACATATTGGAGCGATCGATTATTATCACTGACTGCACCATCAGGCTCTATAGTTATAAATTCATGTTTGTTGCATAGCACTAATCAAATAACGCGTTCATAAATGAAATGAGATCATATTATATGTTAAGATAGTGAACTGTCGTATCTGTTACGGCTTAAATACATCCACACTGTCTTCCCCTCGATTTGAAACGTCATATAGATAGGTGGGAAAATTCGTTGCAAAATGTCAAGTTACCAATAATGCAGTTAACTAAATCTTGTGAATATAATGCATGTTTAGGTGGAAATGTTATGTCAAGTAATAAAATCATGGGAATGTAATATGTCTTTAAAGTAACATGGCCATTAAGAATTGAAGATACTTGCAAGTTACTAGTATTTGACCACAGATGTCTTAAAAATATTGCTCGCATCTTCTGGGATCACCGGATAAGTGATAGTGAGGTGAGACACAGGGTATTAAGGAATGATGGTAAATCAGTTGATGAGGTGATGAATCTTCATCGACTGAGATGGTTGGATCACTTGTTATGTATGCCTGAACACCGATTATCACGACGTGCTATTCTGACTAGTATTGGGGCTGGTTTGAAGAAAGTTTGGGGCGGCCAAACCAAAACGTAGCATCAGTGCTTGAAGTCACTAACTTCTAGTCTGAGCCATGTTGGCAGATCATAATGGCGTAGGTGTATACACTCTTTTTCTTCCCTTAAACCTTGAGATTGAAATTGCTCCATAACTTTCTTCTTTCCTGTACTATATCCTTATATACAACCTATCTTTTATATATTACCACTACTGAGTTAACTATTTCTATAAATCCGGTGTTGATTTTGTTGTGCTAATGAGGTATGGCAACTTGTACCGATGCATAAATGTGCCTGGTCCTACGTTGTAATTGACCGATCGATCACAATATAAAGTAATATTCTCACAAAATTTAATGTTATAAAACTTCTTTAGGTAAAATAGTTTTAACATAGAATAATCACATGATTATAATTTATGCTTGAATAATGTAGCACACCAAATAAATAATCCGGACATATTTAACTCAACTACCCTTTTTAAACCATTAGGGAGCATGATACTGAGAGAATGTTTGGGGTGCAAACCGACTTTAGTCTTTGGATCATATCTTCTTGTGCTGCTTCATTACCTGGTAGATTAGGCCTTTAGGTCGAATACTCAAGGGTGTCCGTTCACTCAGAAAACCACTTGTCTAGCTTTGTGTCCACAGTAGTAACCCAGTACTAACGATGATCATGTATGACATAGTGAGTACTCTATTGGACAAATTATGTGCATTTCAAAGTGCGAGCCACTGGATATCTCGCTTAAAATTGCTGTCTTACCGATGAAACATGGATGATATGGGTTTGACTTTCTTTGGCATTTTTTGTAAACAATGTTGGGATATAAAGTTCTGGAAGAATCTGATGTTTTGTGGTAATTGTGATTTATTGACTGTTTTTCTTTCGTTACATTTTAATATGTTTTATTTCCTTTTCACATCTGTTTTATTTAGTCCCTCATCCTCGACTGTCTAAATGGTATTCGTCTATGCTTAAAAAACTTGATCAGGAAATCTACGATCTATTGAAAATCCATTCCTCTAAGTCAGCAAATGTGGACACAGTATCAAAAGTCACAAAATCTGTAAGTTATTTATTTATCTGTTTTACGAAGCACGTTTTTCTCGCCATAAACAATTAAATTTTGTGTTTGTTCCCAGTTGTCGTTTCAGTTGTTATGATGGTCTTATTAAGTACATTGAATTGAATACAGTATTCGGCATGTCTGATAGCCAACACGCTTTATTGACCAGTTGCTTACTGGCTAACCAGGATGCCATAAAATATCCGACCAACATACGTAATGTAACTTACATGAGAGCTCTTAATTCTCAAGAAAAGATATTTATTTAAATTATCATTATAGTGTATATAATATTGTTACAAATGAAGTACCCAATAGAAACATGTATATATGATGTAATGTTGCCACTTTTCAAGGTTTACAATACTATTGGAATGTAAGAAAGATTTCAGTAATAAATGTTGTTGTGGGAACTCTTCCAATAGGTCATAGTAATATCGATTTTATTAGTCTCTCCAACGCCCCAATATGCCCTGATATGGCCGAGAGTAAGGAGAGACCGCTCTCCCTCTCGAGACGCTCTCATATGGCCACACGTATATGGCCTCCGCCAGGGAGGTCCTACACACTGCCTTCTCGTGGTAGGGTGGGGTGTTGTTGAATGATATCATCGAAATAAGAATTAACTTTAATGACCAGTCTATCCATTTATGCCACAAAATGAAGTTTGTTGTATCTTGTGAGTAAAGTTGATTGACGAGTAACGTCAATTGAAAGCTAGACACATAGATTGTTTTATATGGTAGCTGTTCGTGATTGCATAGACTTTTATCTAATAAATTGTGAACATATAAACTGCACAATGAAGTATGATATGTTCACTAGTGGTGACTAGTCTAAAATAGTGTACCTAAATTGCGATTGAGTAATCGTGACCTGTACAGTTCAAACAAGTTTTAAATGCAAAAGTAATTACTGACAGTAATAGATAATGACTATATGTAATATCCGAAATTGAAATAGGTTGATGTGTCTACTCATTAACCAGCTTCAAGTTATAAGTTTCAACTACTTAAAAGTTTAGTGTTACATTGAAACAGTTGTCCATTAGTCCCTAATTATGAATAGTTGTCTGTGTAGAGCGTGTAATTTGATTTATATTCAAATAAAAAATAATTGCCGATAATCAATACGGTTAAGTAAAACAAATCTTCAGTTCATTTGCTTGCGCTGTAACGTAGCAACCAACCAAGGGAGAAAATCAAGATCCGGATATACAACATAGTGAGCTGCGATCAAATGACGCCTGATGCAGAACCTCTGGAACAGATGAAAGGTATTATGTACTTGGGCAGTATCATTGATAGACAAGGAGAATCTGATGCAGATTTGTAGGCAAGGATCGACAAAGCAATAGCAGCATACCTACAGTTGAACAATATATGGAACTCAAAACAATTATCTATGTGAGATGCTTCAGATGCATTGGGCAGACAACATCAGCAACCACCAACTGTAGCTAAGAAAAAACCAACCTGTCAAGATGCTGGAGGTGGTTAGGAGATATATTACAGAAATCATCAAACTATATCACGAGGCAAACCCTAATTTGTAATCCTAAAGGCGAAAGGAAAAGAGAAAAATCCAAGAACAAATCGTGACGAGAATTGGAGGCAGACATTAAAAGAATGGACAGCACTTGGCGACGACTAGAAAGTAGAGCTCAGGAAAGAGTTGGTTAGATATTCCTGGTCAATGATTTCTATTCCACGAGGTGTAACAAGTGTAACTTCACTTAACTAAGGACTTAACAACCGAGGAGAGAAACCAGAATCTTTAGATGTCTACATGAACGCGTTATACTCATATCAGTGCTTTAGTATCTAATGATCTACATATAAAATTTCAGTCAATATACATTCGTAATTTTACTGAAGATTGAACTCAAGACATTCATGTCTCGTAGAGAACATATAATTACTAAACCCATTACTTTGATGTTAAGTGTTGTCACAATTGAGATCAATCTATAACGACTTCTATTCGATTATTCGTATACTTCTGTTACTCCATAAAATTACTGTATTTCTTTGTTTGTTTGTTTTTTGAATTTCAGTTTCCATTATCAACATTTTGTGATATCTTAGAAATTATTGCAGAATTTTCAATTCAACTCACGTGTTTCAATGAATTAATTTATAATGTTATTCTTTGTGGTAAGTTTTAATTGAAAGGTAGAATTATGTAGTATATGAATGAGCACTTGTTATTTTGAAAAATTCCTAACCAAATCCAGCCATATTACTTACGTCTGTTACTCTCAATGGAGTATAAGCCGCCGACCAGCATTCTACAATCCACTCTGTTCTGAGCCTTCCTTTCTAGTTCTATCCAAATTTTGTTCATTCTTCTCATGTCTGCCTCCATTTCTCGGCGTAATGTGTTCTTTGATCTTCCTCTTTCCGTTTGGCCTTCAGGATTCCATGTGAGGGCTTGTCTTGTGACGCAGTTGGGTGATATCCTCAATGTATGTCCTATCCATATCCAGCGCTTCCTTCTGATTTCTTCTTCCGCTGAAATCTGGTTTGTTCTCTCTCATAGTAGGTTGTTGTTGATAGTGTCTGACCAACGGATCCGAAGTATCTTGCGTAGACAACTGTTAATAAACATCTGTATCTTCTGGATGACGGCTTTCGAAATCCAGCCACATAAATACTGGTTAAGATGCTTATGTGTAACTGGAAAACGAATTCAAATAGATAAATGAGACTATGCATATAGAGGTATTCGAGATACAACAATGTTTATTCGAGAAATAATATAATCCGTAATATCATGGGTTGATTAATTAATGAACTCGATTAGGATAGGACGTTTTGCTTCAAGTTCGATAGTACATGCACGAGCTGAACGATATGAGATTCAATTCTCAAATAAATGAAGGTAATCTATAAGAGCTCCATCGCACTCACGTTTCTTGTTAGTCGGTAGTCGTAAGCAAGGTATCTCTCCCAATTTGATGAGAATAGATGCTCTCTCTGTAGGCTTGAAGTAGATCATGCTCCCTAACTATTTATTTATAGTCAGTCAGCTACAACGTAGTACCAGGCACATATATGCATCGGTGCAAGTTACCACACCTCACCGAATTCACAGAAGTAGTCAATTCAATGGTGGTAATATATAAGAGAAAGATTGCGTATAAGGATATAATACAAGAAGAAAGAAAGATATGAAGCAATTTTAATCTCACGGTTTAAGGAAAGACAGTGAGTGTATACACCTACTTTATTGTGACGGATTCTGAGCCGCGTCACCCAGAGTCTCCGAACACTGTTTACGATAGTGGCGCTTACCCAATCAAGTAGTTTGTATCTACCAACATAGCTCCGACCAGAAGTTATTGACTTTATGGACTGATGCCACGTTTTTGTTTGGCTATCTCTAACTGTCTTCTAACCATCTCCAATACTAATCAGCATTGCTTGTCGTGGTAATCGGTGTTCAGGCATACGTAACACGTGGCTGAAGTTATTTATAATTTTGAAAGTTATGAAAATATTGTTTATTCTGTTCCCTTGATCTGAAAGTGCGTAATTAATACGTGTTACTACACTAACCTTTTTGTATATCTGTAACGTAAAATGTCGTTGACTTATTCAAACGTTTATACATTTGTTTCTATTTATTAATCTCTATGATGTTAGTGTTAGTTGCTTTAGGTGAAATTCTTGTGATTACCACTGATCGAACTACAGCATAAGGATTCGCTAAGAATATCTTTATTCGAGATTTATGAAAGTTAGCATTCCAAAGACAATCGTAATTCTGACTATAAAGTATTGACTATTTGCATTGGTTCTATAACTGACATTTCAATGGGTCCACAAGAAACGTATGATCTTTATAGCATTATCGTGCAATCCAAAAAAGCATAATATTAAAAGCATCTTTAAAATAAGTTTCATCATAAAATGATGCCAGTTATAGTAGAAGCATTAAAAAAAGGATAGTTCCTGATAAGTACTAACTCAGAGTCAGGATCCAGTTATTGCTCTTTATTTATTTATTTAAACTCATAAATATTGGCACAAAGGGGAACCAGATATATATGCACCACACAAATGTCATTTGATTTGTGTGAGGGATGTGATACTGCCCAGATGCTCAAACTGAAGCAGGTGGTTTTCTTAAAGGCCCCACTCGGAGCCTTTGACCTAAAGATCTGATCCACAAAGCAGTGGAGCATCGTGAGGAGATGCAATCCCATGGTAACCGGTGACCAACGATTGATTCATACGCCATTTGTTCCCTCAGGATACTGGAGTCCATATGCACCGTTGGTTGAGAATCAGGATTTTTCAACTCCTCTAGTTGGATGTTCCGTATCAACCACCCCGGTTAAAGCGCGGACATTTACAAACTGATGCCGATGAAAGTTAATGTTTTAATATATAGAAGTATTTCCATGTAGCAATAGTAATAATATTAACCAAGTATACATTTGCTTTTTACTTTTGCACAGATTATAGTTATATGTTAGATTCGGATATATTTTTAAATTTTCTATGTAAATTATCCAATCATGTTATTCTGTTGGAAAATATAACTGGTCAATTAAACTCATGGTCACCTAGTTTAGGCGGTTGGATTAGTTTGCCTAATACTACTACTGCTACTGCCACTACAACTATTGCTAACGGGAATATGAAAGAAACTGAACGTGATATGATTTTAAAATTTTTGAAAATGTTATTTGATAAAAGTATACCTGTAAGTTATGATTTTATCTATTATATTAGATCATTGATATGAGACTATTAATTCACTTGGTATTGTTTCTTTGAATCTTCCCATTGATGTTTAAGATTGCAACTGGTCAATCTCTTATTGGTTATATGTGCATACTGTGCATATTGCCTCGATATAGCATTAATTCACAAGCATTATAAGCAAAGATGGATAATGGCTAGCAGTGGAATCCAGGACGTGCGTTTCGTTTTATATTCGCGACTTGTCAGCTGGATGTACCTGCATCTCAGAGTTGATGTTCACCCTGGGACTCGAACCCAGTACCTTTCGCTTCAAAATTCACCTCATCACACAAGCAAGTAGCTATCAGGACTCAGTAGCTGAGTGGATAACGCGATGGCGTTTTAAGTGAAAGGTACTGAGTTCAAGTCGCAGGGTGATCAACAACTCTGTGATGCAGCTACATCCAGCTGACGAGTCCCAAATAAGATGAAACGCGCGTCAAATTGGATTCCACTGCTAGCCACTATCCATCTTTGTTTATATTAATAATTTTGTTATTATTTTTCCATATATTACGCTGAAGAACATACACAATTGACTTACTACGGTGAATCAACCTTATGTGGAACTTTAGAAGGTTATAAATAAAACAGGCTATTGAAGTATGCCGACTACGCTCTCAGTGTTTATGTCGTTGTTTAGTTTAGAAGGACGATCATATATGTATCTATGATTTTTGTACAATTAATTCGGTTTGACAATTATAGCGTCCTAATCATTTCAGTCTTCTGATTAGGAAACCTATAGAAAACATGTATATGTTAATTAAATGTCGTAGAACGTGACAGAAGCTTGATCACAATTTCGCTTAATTGGTGTCAAATAAGACGTTTAGCGGATATGGGTTCTATTTGAAAGAAGGCGTTTCACTGTCATAACCTACAAGGATAACGATAGGATATGGCGTATCTTATGTTAAACTTTGAGACTTTTAGTATTGTGAAGGTTCAATCTCACATTTGATTATATAAACATCCAGGTGTTAATACTACGTGTTGTCCTAAAGAATTCGAGTAATTCATAGTTCAATTTGAGAAATAAACTCCGTCACTTAAATAGTTTGATCTTGTTTGAAAATTCTTTCCCAAGTTATCGGATCATCCAACCACAAATCACAATTATAATAATTATCTTACCATAGTCTTTTAGCTCAAAACCAATTTCTCCCAATTAGTTCATTGACTTAGGCCCTAATTAATATCACCCGATAATTTTCATCGAAACATATATGTACTGATGTTTTCTATCTTGTTTTTTTTTAATTCCTCCCATGCTCATCTTTTTACAGAATGAACTAAATTCAACAGGAGAAGGAAATTTTCAATTTACCAGTATACCACAAACATGGTTACCACCTGATCGTCCAGTTGATCTTAGACGTCCAAATTATGAATTATATATATTCTATACTGAATTACCTTATCCAAATCAATTAACTAGTCGATTAGGTTCACATCGTTTATATATTGAATTATATTATGATAAACAATCATCAAATTATAAAACTTTATTAATGGCTGGTAGTTTTAGTCATGATACACAATTTTTTTAAATTTCAAAGTGAGTCTCTTTAAATGTAACGTTATTTGTTACTTGGTTACTTTTACTCTTGTTGTTTGTTGTTGTTGTCTTCTCTAGTTTTCTTTTTTTTTTGTTTGTTTTGTAAACAAAAATTGATTTTACGATCAATAGTTTATAGCTCAGAAGTGGGTTACTTTCCTTTAGATATATTCCCTTATGCTTATCGTGTATATCTGTCTTAAATATCATCGTATTTCTTTCTTTACTTCAGTTCTTTAATGGATAACTGGAAGTTTTATTCTTATTTGTATCATATTTTTGCACATTCCTTATGCACTACTGATATGATATAAAAGGTGTTTTGTAAATCTACAAGATGCTTTATTATTTATTTATTTATTTAAATATATAAATATTGGTACAAGAGGGCAACAGAACTCTTTCAGTTAAGGAAGTTATAACCACTCATTATGAAGAAAGTAAAAGAAGGTTACAACGGGATCGCCACTGGCTTCTATTTTGAGCCATATCCGATAACGCCTCTAGTCACTGTGTTCCACCATCTTTCGGACCCCAACCAGGGAATCGTGAAGGACCAACAAAAGCCAGTTCTTTGCAGTTTTCTTTCATACCACATCATATACTGACCACCTCTTCTTTTTCTCCAAACAATCTCAGCGTCGGTAAATAATGCACGATGTAGAATTCTCTGGGACGACAATCGTAGAACATGTCCAAGCCACCGAAGTCGATGTTTCAAGACAGTGACACCAATTGGGTTGTCGTCGTTCTGCCCAAACACACGATGCCGAATCCCAGGTTTACAAACATGATGTTGCCACTGTGTGTGAGCAATCCTTCGGAGACAACGATGTTGTAGATCCGACCTTTTACAGCCAGATTAACATCACGAAGGCGCCAAAGGTGGTCTAGATTTGCATAAGTCGCTATGGTTTTCACTATACGTGAATTAATCTCATGACTCACGCCATCACCAGCACTTATGCAGCTACCTAGATACACGAACTTCTCGAGTACTTCAATCTGCTCACCATCCAGGGTGAGTACAGGGTCAGGGTCGTGCCAGTGTTGTAGAAGTACTTTACACTTCGAAGGTGCGAAACACATGCCACTAATTCTCAAATGATTAAGTGAGGATTGCATGCCTTGGGCATTATCGCACAGTAAGACAATATCATCCGTTTACTCAATGTCGAGAAGTCTTTATCCAGGGAAGAGATCCACACCGCCATTCTCTACATCAATCAGAACTGTTTCCAGAATGTCATCGATGGCAAAGTTGGAGAGGAATAGTGAAATCGGGCAGCCATATCTAACCTGCTGCTTGAATGGAACAGTGCAGAGAGATGGTTTTGTGCCATCACTCTGCCTGAGGTGTTTGTATATAGGGCTTTTAAGATGTTAATGAAGTTCACAGGCACACCCTTCTTCAATAGACAATCCCAGAGAACAGTCCTGTCCAACGAATCGAAGGCAGCCCTGATGTCAATAAACACTACGATTGTTGGCCTGTGATAAGTATGACGGTGTTCTAACATTTGGTAGAGAGTGAAGATGCGATCAATACATCCTCGACCAGAACGAAAACCATCTGCTTAGCTAATAATAGAAATTAAACATTATGAGGTTTGGTTGAAAAGAATTAATGGATAGATGATATCTATCAGAAAATGTTTAGGCTAAATTTCTAAAGAGAAGTAAAACATAGATACATCTGCTTTATTAAGACTGATTCTTTCACCGAATACCTTTGATCGTTATTTGTGCCTATCTGAATGAGGTAGTCTGCAGGATGTACCTAGGTAACATATATGTCATCCACTTCGATTGATGAATATTCACCTGGTTCGATGCATGATAGTCTTCTTATTATAATAGAAAACAAGAAAAGGGTATTTATTCCATTGATCTTTCAAATTACTCACTACTAATAAATTCCTAATATTCTATATTGTGTATATGGGAAAAAAACGGTTTATCTCAGTCCGTTCATTCGATGGATAAATACTGTACATTGAAGAGTAATTTTTATTAAAGATTCCATGCATTCATCTGGAGTAGACTGCTATAACCAAGTCAATGTAACTCAGAATGAAAAGCACGAATAGCTTGAAATTTGGGACTTGAGTTAAAAAAATTGGTAAAGACGACACTATTATGCAGTTGTTATCCACTAAATGGATAGAGAGTGTTGGGTACGACACAGTAAAGATAACGGATAACCTCAAAGTTATGACTTAAGACCGCTGATCAATATCACGTTTTAAATTCACCAATTGGAATTTAGAATATAATTTTCTCTATCTTGCGCTTGATATTCCGTTCACATAAACTAGCGTCCAAACCTTCATGAATTGTTCATTCTGACGTACACGGTTAACTGGCCTGCCAATCCTAAGCCTTCCTCTTACCCTCAGTCTTAAGAGAAGGCAGCCTCTTTTGGTAATATATTCCAAGGACATGTAGGTTTATATACAAACCTATTGAACTACAGTCGCACCATAAACCAAAAACTCACCATTATACATATGAAACCTCATGTGAATAGAACAAGTTGTAAGTCATAAATTGGCAACAAGTTACTATTAAGTTTCATAATGGTAAATAATGCGTTGAACGAGACCTTACAATAAACGGAATATATAAACGTAATAGTTCAATAACTATACAACATAATAATAAATAGTAATTCGGAAAATGTTTTCTAAAGTTCCTGCCTTTACAATTTCCGTCCCGTACATCAAGATCCTAACTTCGCTCCATCTACTGTCATTCGAACAGCATGCTGGTCGTATGTATGTGAACTTGTTTATTCAGAAGTAGGATAACATTCTAATACATTAAGAATAGAGAATATTTTTAGAATATCAGAATTGGATCATAGATGTATTCGAACCATCATTTGTGTATTTTGAGGCCAGTGAGTGGGCAATGATGAGGTTAGTTAAAGAGTGATAAGTAGAAGGGATTTTGTTTGATGAGGCAGTAGGTCGAGATCTTCGATACATGTGTTGCGCGTACCCGATTACCTTAACAGTTTACGTTGTCTGACTTAGAAGTATGCTGGAGGAAAAGAGCCAAAACAAAAATTAGTCCTTGAAATCATTGACTGTTAGATTGAGTTACGCGAGAAGTGTGGATCTCCTGGTTGTTACTCGACCATTATCATAACCAATAGTTGAAGACTGTATTATTTGGCTCAGAATCATCAGAAATGAGGGTAGTGCATTCGTTTCTTGTAGTCTTTTAGTCCCTGAATACCTTGTGCTTCTTTTTTAATTCTACTACTTACATTGTTACTATTTCTACTACTCTGGCATTTGACTTGATAATGTCATCTTACTGTGCCGATATGCAAGAACTTGAACCGACATAAATATGTATCAGATTCTACATTCCATATGACTGAAAGACATTTTTAAATGTCGAGTGAATTAGTGAGGGATAAAGTGTAGCGGTTTTCGTTAAACAATTATGTAAATCTGAGATTCGTTAAAATCGTTTGAACATTATACAGTTAAAGTCAACCCAAGACGATAAACCGTATATATATTGTGTTTATATGTATGAAATGGCCAAGACTTTAAACGCTGTAACAGAAATTATTACAACTCTAGATTTTACAAATAGTTCGTTTAGTGGTTGGATTTATGAATCGACTTAAGCTAGACCACCCTGAAGGTACTGGACGACCGTTTCTTCCTAGTATGGGACTTTTCTGCAGCGCGCATTCACAACCCGTTTGTTCATTTTAATTCAAGAAATCATAAAAACTGAATTCATTTTGTTTCACATCATACCTAATCATTGTAAGCGAAGATGGATAGTGGCCAGCAGTGGAATCCAGTTTGACACGCGTTTCGTCCTGTTTGGGACTCGTCAGCTGGATGCACCTGCATCTTAGAGTTGATGTTCATTCTGAAACTCGAACCCAGTACCGTTTGTTTCAAACGCCATCGCGTTATCCACTCAGCCACTGAGTCTTGATAGCCGAAATAGGACGAAACGCGCGTCAAACTGGACTTCACTTCTAGCCACTATTCATCTTTGCTTACCATGCTTGTGAATTAAGGCTATATCGAGGCATTACGCATAGTATGCACATATACCAATTAGAGACTGACCAGATGCAGTCCCAAAAACATCGATTGGAATTTTCAAACAAACAATACTAAGTGAATACCCCATCATTGTTTCACTTTTAAGTCATTTATTGTTAAACCTAAACGGAATCAGTAATTGGATTTCACGCTTTTCTTTAACAACACTGTTGTTGCCAGTAGTAACCACCTAATCAAATGAAGCCTATAAACATTTTACAAACTTATTAAGGAGATAACTACGCAGTAACTATGATTTTAATGATGATTACTCTTAGTAATAATAATGATAATAGAAGTAGTAGCCTAAGTGTGACTATTGCCACTGCTGACATTTTTCTTGTAAATTCTTCATTTGCATTTACATGTCTTTTAATGATGTTATTGTTGCCATAGTAACAGCTTTTATCATAAGAAATTAGTTCTCTGCTGTGTTTTTTTTTGTTAAAATACAGTAGAATATTTTTCTATGAAAGTTATTCAGCAAATGAAGTTGTTTAAAGAATCTGTAGTTGATTATACATCTGATGATTAAGAGATGACAAGAACAAACCATTGAGGGAAATGTATAGAAATATATGTGGATTGTTTAATTAGCCTGCTGAATTAAGGTAAATATTGTAATTGAGTAATGATTGTTTTCATTTTTGAAAGCGTGAGTCAATTGAAGCTAGACCACCAGGGAAAACCTGGAAGCACTGAAAGGCCGTTTCGCCCTATTTTGGGACTCCTCAGCAATGCGCATCCTTGATCCCGCCTCGGGAGATTCGAACCCAGGGTCTATTAGTCTCGCGCGCGAGTGCTTAACCACTAGACCAATGAGCCGGCATCCAACGGTGTTAATGTCTAACTCCAACCAATCCATGAAGTTGAGCAACCGTTCACCGATTGTCTTCAGTGAGTTCCTATT